GTTCTGTTCTTTCATTTGGGACCTGTCTCTTTGTCTCCTCATTTTGGCTGCCTTTCTGTTTGTTTCTGTGTATTACTTAAGGAGAGGTATGGGGCTACCTGAGACCAGATGCTGCTTGTTTGAAAGAATTTAGGAAAATCTAAAAATGAGGAACATCTGTAATACATTCAACAATAAAGATAAAAATAAAATAAAATCAATAAAGAAAAAAATGTTTAAAAAATCCCCACAAAACTAAACAAAAAACGAACAAGAGCTAGCAGGATCCAAGACAGGCCAATCCTATAGTAAAGCAACTGGCAACAGCTTGAGTGGGCCTGAAAGTTGGGTGGGGCAGGGCTTCAGGGAATCCCGGGGGCGGGGGGGGGGGGGGGGCAACCAGTGTTAACCAGGTTGCTGGAGTCCCAGATAAGGCGGCTGTCTGCCGCCCCAGGGAAGGGCTCACCAAAGGAACAAAGGCCTCTGACAGCACGTTTGTCCTGGAGAAAGCCCCCTCTCCAGCCCTTACTCCAACGCCAAACAGCTCAGTTCTTCCCTGTATGTCTCTGGCGCCCCTCCAGCTGCCTCCCCTCCAAGCTTAGAGGCAGCAACTCCGATAAGTCTGTGCGCGGGCCCTTTAAGAGGAGCTGCCTGGGGCTCCAGCCACCTCAGCCTCCCTGAGCCTCAGTTCCCGCTGGTTTTTCCAGCCAGAAGTTATGGGGACTTCTCTTCCAGGCACTGGAACCCTGAGCGGGGCTCCTGGTGTGGGACGGGAACCCCTCAGTCCTCAGGGAGGACCTTCCCAGCCGAGGTGTCCTCCTGATTTATGTCCACTACACGTAGGTGTGGGACCAGCCCATCTGTCTCCACCCCTTTTACCAGTCTCGATATAGTTGCTTCTTTAATTCCGTAGTTGTAGGACTTCCATTCAGCTCGATTTCAGGGGGGTTGAATGATGGTTGTTCTGTAGTTTAGTTATAACTTTGATGTGGTTGTGGGAGGGTGCGATACCACATTTACCTACACTGCCATCTTGACCGGAAGTCCAGGTCCTTTATTGATTTTAGAGAGAGAAAGTGAGAGGGAGAGAGAGATAGAAACATCAATGAGAGAGAACATCGATTGGCTGCCTCCTGCATGCCCCCCACTGCAGATCGGGCCCACAACCTGGGCATGTGTCCTGACCAGGAATTGAACCAGTGACCTCTTGGTGCTTGGGTCAACGCTCAACCACTGAGCCACACCAGCCGGACTAGTTTTGTGTTTTTGTTACTCATTTATGAGAATTCTATGCATAGTAAGAATATTAATCTGTTTCTTATAAAAACTTAAAATTTTCTTGTTTAAAAATTATGTATTTTTATTTTAGTAGTTTAAAATCTAAATCCTGCCCAGCCGGTGTTGCTCAGTGGGTTGAGCTTTGTCCCGTTTCCATTTCCAGTCATGGCACATGCCTGAGTCATGGCCTCAGTCCCCAGCAAGGGGCATACAGGAGGCAGTGAATCAATGTTTCTCTCTCTCATTGATGTTTCTCTCTCTCTCTCCCTTCCTTTCTAAAAAAAAAAAAATCAATGAAAAAAATTAAAATCTAAATCCTAAAGAACAAGAAAACTACTAAAATCTCACTCTCCAAGGATAATCACTGTTAACATGTTTTTTCTATGCAAGATATAAAAATATATACCCTTTTTTTACAGAAATGGAATCAACCTTTACATACTTTTTAAAAACACTGATTCTATTTTTTAAAAAAGGCGAAAGATTTATGCGATCTGAAGAGAAACCAGAGTATTGATTCTATTTTAAAAACCACGTTTTTGCTTAATATACTTTGTCATATCATTACATATCTTATAACATCATTTATATTTTACTTTTATTATTTTTTAAAAAATATGTTTTTATTGATTTTTTTAGAGCGAAAGGAAGGGAGAGAGAGATAGACACATCAATAAGAAAAACAGCAATCAGTCTGACCAGTGTGGCTCAGTGGTTGAGCATCGACCCATGTACCAAGAAGTCGCCAGTTCGATTCCTGGTCAGGATACATGCCCAGGTTGTGAGCCAAATCCCCAGTGAGGGGCATTTGGAGTGTTGTCCTGTACATCAAAAGGTAGCAGGTTTGATTCCGGTTCAGGGCACATACTTAGGTTGCAGTTTTGATCTCCCAGTCAGGGTGAGTTTGAGAGAGGCAACCAATTGATGTTTCTCTCTCTCTCTCTCTCTCTCTCTCTCTCTCATCCTCTCTCTCCTTTCCTCCCACTCTATCTGAAGATAAATGGAACAATATCCTCAAGTGAGATTTTTAAAAAATGTGATAATATTATATATGCATTGTTTTCACTTATCAATTGATCTTGGACATATATCAATATATGTGAACCAACTTGGCTACTTTTTTTCTCAATCTGGCTTATTTTAATGGGGGATAGAATATAGAAGTATCATAACCGATGTCTTGATGGATGTTTAAATTGTTTCTAGTTTTTCTTTAATACATACCTTTTCAGTAAACATCTTTCAGTGCTTAAGCAAGTATTGTAAAATGAATTCCTAGCACTGCAATTATTGGTAAAGAGTACAAACAGTTTGGACATTTAAATATTTAATAGAATTGTCCTCCAGAAGGTCTCTATCAGTTTACAGTATTCCCTCTATTGTAGAGAGCACCTTCACAACATCTCTCCCTTGGTCGATTCTGGTTTTTGGACTCTATAGGCTTTTGCCACAGAGAGACCACATAAATATTTCAGCATAAGCCATATTTTAGCATAAGCCATATTTTTCAAATCTTTTAAATATTTTTTGTTTTTTACATTTTATTATGAAAAACAAATCTTTTTAATATTAAAGATAATATTTATTTGTTTTCCTTTATGCAAAGAAGTAAAAAGAAGGAAACCAAGTAATGCACTATTGTCTCATCTTCTTTCACATTAAAAAAGTTTAAAAACGTGCCTGGTCAGTGTGGCTCAGTGGATTGAGCATCAGCCCATGGACTGAGAGGTCCTGGTTTCATTCCTGGTCAGGGCACATGCCCAAGTTTTGGGCTCAATCCCCAGTGAGGGGCCTGCAGGAGGCAACTGATCAATGTTTCTCTCTCACATTGATGTTTCTCTCTCTCCCCCTAAAAAAATTAATAAAAACATGTTAAAAAAATTTTAAAAACATAATGCATGGCTTAAAGATGCCAGCAATCCAGGATACACAATGAAAAATTAAAGCCTTCTCTCTTTCCGTATCTCTCCCCAAAGTAATCACTGTTCATGCTTTTATGTAATTTCCTCTAGAAGAAAATTGTGTATATATTTATGCACATCTCCAGCTCTAGCCAAGTTTTGTGACTTTCCCTAATTACTTAAAACATGTCCCTAGCCCTGCTGGTGTGGCTCAGTGGTTGAGCATCGACCTATGCCTATGCAACAAGAGGTCACTGGTTTAATTCCCAGTCACGGCACATGCCCAGCTTGAGGGCCCTGATGGGGGCATGCAGGAGGCATCCAATCGATGTTGATGCTTCTCTCTCTTATCAGTGTTTCTATCTCTTGCTCCCGCTCCCTTTCTCTCTCTAAAAAATCAATAAAAGACATTAAAAAATAAATAAAACATGTCCCCCAAATTCTGGTGTCCATAGACCTAGAGATTTACATTTCAGTTGGGTAAAGGTATGCTCTGTAGTAAAACGATTTGACAACTAAGTCATAGCCTCTTTATACTGAATTGCAGGAAAACATGGTTGAGACATTTGTCGCGTGATGGAGAACAAGTATAGTCTCATTTAATCTTACCAGAGATCTTCCCTTTAATATGATTAGATAGCAAATATATTCTTTTTTTAATGTTATTTTTATTGATTTTTTTAGAGAGAGAAATATCAGCGTGAGAGAGAAACATCAATTGGCTGACTCCTGCACACCCCCCACTGGGGATCAAGCCCAAAACTCAGGCATGTGCCCTGACCAGGAATTAAACCAGGACCTCTTAGTCCATGGAATGATGCTCAATTCACTGAATTACACCAGCTCAAATATATTTTTTGTTTGATTCCCTGGGTTGTGAATATTTAGTATTTTTAGCATTCTTATCAGCACCATGATTTATAATGTTACCTTAAGCAAAGTACTTGTAGGTCTGAGTGACTTGCTTCATAATTTCTCTTTACTTAAAAATTCCTTAAGGGGAGAGCCAAATTTATGATTTCATATGATCCTAAGGGAGCTTGTGTTAATGTTTCCATAGCAACTCAGTATATGTATATTTCATTACACAAAAGGGAATATATATATATATATATATTTCCCTAACTTTGTATTTTTTACTTAATATATTTTGAAAGTCTTTCCATATCAGTACATATAGATCTATTGAGGAAGATTTTTTTTTTTTAAATCCTCACCCAAGGACATTTTTACATTAATCTTCAGATAGAGCTGGAGGGAGAAAGGGAGGAAGAGAGAGAGAGAGGGAAACCTCCATGTGAGAGAGACACCTGGATTGGTTGTCACCCGTGCAACCCCAACTGGAGCTGGGGACGAACTGCAACCAAGGTATGTGTCCTTGGCTGGAATCGAACCTGGGACTCTTTGGTCCGCTGGTGACGCTCTTACTGCTGAGGCATACTGGCCAGGGCGGAAGATATTTTTTAACTCAGGGGTAGATTTTTAATGTTAGTGAATTGTTCTGCACTCTTCATAGCCTGTGCCCTGTTGTCTTTTCCCATTTGGTTTCCAGGGCAGGGCATCCAGGGTAGTAGAGTGCTGAATCATGACACCCAGACTGAGATTTCTTCACACAATCTCACTGTGTGACACTCCTCAGTGGCCCTCTGTATCACATGGACACAACTCGATGTCAATACTAAATTTTGTTTTTTTCTTTCTCGTTTCCCTCATCCCATAACCATCTATGCATATGGATGGTTGAAGAACGAGTGCCTTCCCAGGCTGATGGGTGAGGTTTCTGTATTTCTTCTCCCTTGCACCCTGCCTGCTGATGTCTGCCATCTTTTATTTCCACTCCAGGGGAAGCCGTATGTCTTCGACCGTGTGTTTCCCCCAAACACGACTCAGGAGCAAGTTTATCATGCTTGTGCCATGCAGATTGTCAAAGGTACTAGATGTATTCTTCTAATGTATTTTTTCAGGCACCACATTTCCTACCCCATTTCTTTTTACCAGGGCTCTTTCTCTGCCATCTCTTCCAGATGTCCTTGCTGGCTACAATGGCACCATATTTGCTTATGGACAGACGTCCTCAGGGAAAACACATACCATGGAGGTGAGGGTTGTGACTTCCATGGAGGGTGAGAGCTGGGAGTGATCATGGGAGACCAAGAAATCTCATTGAGGGAAGGGCTAGGAATCCAGGGTGGCCTGGTCCAGAGGTAGCTGTCTAGAGGATGAACGAGGGGCAATATAGTGCGAGTTTAATGCAGTCCCTTTACCCTGCTGCAGTTACTCTCCACTACTCCAGTTTTCTTTTTTTGATCTGGAAAATCAGCAGCAATGAAATATCAAAGCGCTATTCAGTTCTGTCCTCCTTTCACGAAAAGGCAGCCATGGCAGTGACCACCTCCTCCTAACTTAGGATGGTTCCTATCAACTCTTACCTTTGTGTTCACCTGCATAGCTCTGAGTTGTCTCATTCTTCCTGAGCTCCAGCCTTATTCTGGAATACCCTTAACTCCCTAGGGAAAGCTGCACGACCCCCAGCTGATGGGAATCATTCCTCGAATTGCCCGAGATATCTTCAACCACATCTACTCCATGGATGAGAACCTTGAGTTCCACATCAAGGTGATCAGGGCATGACCTCTGGGCATCTTCAGATGGGGACTGGGAGGGGAAGATGTAATATGAACTCATTGAGACCCTGGGTGCCCCAACTTACTCTCCCCTCTTGTTACTTCAGTTCTTCTCCCCTAAGATATTTTCTTCTGCTTTTTTCTTCCCACCACCACTGTTGGAGCAGGTCACATTAGCTTGAAATTCCTTAAGAGAGATCTCGTCACTTCATACTCCTCCTCTCTCCCTAACCAGGTTTCTTACTTTGAGATTTACCTGGACAAAATTCGTGACCTTCTGGATGGTGAGTGGTGTTTAACCCCAATGGGTGGGTGGGAGTGTGAGGAGAGCAAGGAAAAGGAAGATCACATTGCTCTTGGGGTTAGTTACTGTTTGGCAAGAGATTCAGAGGGTACACGAGGGCACACACACACATACCCATGTCCCTTGCCTCCACTCACCAAGATTTCCAAAACCTAAAAGGGTCAAAGGATGAGCTTAGATTCCCGGGCCCACATATAAATAGCCTGAGATGAGCTGGATCCCTGGGGCTGGAATCCTGGAGGAGGAGAAGCTGAGTCTTCAATTTGTGCAGGGAGTTTAGGCTTCACAGGAGAGTCTTCTTCCCTTTTTTACATAGAAGAAACCACTACCTGAGAGGACTACAGGGTGCAGAGGTTGGGGGGATGGGGCAGTAGAAGTGCTGGCCTTGCTCACCTGTGTTGTCTTGATTCAGTGACCAAGACAAATCTGTCTGTGCATGAGGACAAGAACCGAGTGCCATTTGTCAAGGTGAGTGTGGGGACAGGGGCATCCAGGCGGGGCCAGTGTATTCCGAGTGTGGGTGTGGGAGGAGGATAGACCAGGGACCCAGAAGTTGGAGGGTGGATCTCCTGGAGGGGTGAGATGTGCCATGGGGCCAGGAAGAGTCTGGGGGCTTAGAAAGGACATTATCTGGAAAGGTCATTTTGTCAGAGTGCAGGTAATTTAATTCGAAGATCAAAGTTTATGGGTCACTATCCATTTGCCCCCTGCAGGGTTGTACTGAACGCTTTGTGTCCAGCCCAGAGGAGATTTTAGATGTGATTGATGAGGGGAAATCAAATCGTCATGTGGCTGTCACCAGTGAGTGGGGATATAAGGGGCTTTTGACTTTGGGGTCCGCCTCCCCTTTGTGCCTTTGGAGGTTGAGGGACTCAAAAGAGAGCAAGGGAAGACTGTCCTCCAGAGGAGAAGGGGCCCTCTTCGAGTGACCCTGCTGCCTGGGAAATGTAGTGGTGGGATCCTCTCTCTAGGTGGGTGGGGATAGCAGTCAGGGGGAGCTGGGCTGAGGGCTTCAGCCTTCAGGGTCTGGTACCAGGACTGTTTCTCCCTTTCTCCTGCAGACATGAATGAACACAGCTCTCGCAGCCACAGCATCTTCCTTATCAACATCAAGCAGGAGAACATGGAGACTGAGCAGAAGCTCAGTGGGAAGCTGTATCTGGTGGACCTGGCTGGGAGTGAGAAGGTTGGGGGAGGGTCTTGTAGGGGTCGGGTAGGGAGGGAAGGAAGCCTTGGGGGGAGGTATCCTTTTTAAAATAATCAAAATAACTTTTGCCTTGGCCGGTTTGGATCAGTGGTTAGAGCATCGGCCTGCGGTCCAGAGAGACCTAGGTTCAATTCCTGCTAAGGGCACGTACCTCGGTTTCAGTCTGTCCCTGACCTTGGTTGGGTCATGCGGGTGGCAACCACTCGATGTGTCCCTTTCACGTCTGTTTCTCTCTCTCTCTCTCTCTCCCTCCCCCTCTATCTGAACAAAATATGGAAAAGTGTCCTCCGGTGAGGATAAAAAAAAGTAAACAATAAAAATAAATAAATAAATAAAATAATCAAAATAACTTTTGCCTTGGCTGGTTTGGCTCAGCGGTAGAGCATTGGCCCACAGACCAATGATTTGCGGGTTCAGGACACATGAGTTGCAGTTTGTCCCTGGCCCTCATGGGATCTTGCAGGAGGTAACTAGTCGATGTGTCCCTCTCAGGTTGATGTTTCTCTCTCCCTTTTTCTCCCTCCTACTCTATCCTCGGGTAAGGATTGAAAAAAAATAACTTTTTAAAAATTGAGACATAATTCATATTTCATAAAGTTTACCACTTAAAAGTATACAATTGCCCTGGCCAGTTTGGCTTAGTGGTTAGAGTGTTGGCCTGTGGCTCAAAGAGTTGTGGGTTCAATTCCGGTCAAGGGCGCGTACCTCGGTTGTGATTCGGTCCCCAGCCCTGGCTGGGGTTATGCGGGAAGGCAACCAGTCGATGTGTCTTTCTCACATCGACGTTTCTTTCTCTCTCTCTCTCTTTCTCCCTCCCTCCCTCCCACTCTACCTGAAGATAAAAGGAAAAATATCCTCGGGTGAGGATTAAAAAAAAAAAAGTGTATAATTAAGTGGTTTTTGCAAAGTTGTGCAACCATCACCCCTAATTCCAGAACATTTTCATCATCCCTTAACAGTCACTCCTATACTCTCTTCTTCTATACTCTGGCAACTACTAATCTACTTTCTGTCTGGATGGATTTTCCTTTTCTGGACATTTCATATAAATGGGATCATATAATATGTAGGCAGGAGGGGGTGGCCTTTGGCAAAAGAATTTAGAGCCTTCTCTATTCTCTATCCTCTTTACTCTTTCCCTGTTCCCTCTTTTCTTTGGACTGAGCCCCCGCCCCCCCATATGGAGAGAGGAGGTAGTGAGAGCCTTCTCCTTTTGCAGTGGCTCATGACACACTTGTCCCCTGGTAGGTCAGCAAGACCGGAGCAGAGGGAGCCGTGCTGGATGAGGCAAAGAATATCAACAAGTCACTGTCAGCTCTGGGGAATGTGATCTCTGCACTGGCTGAGGGCACTGTGAGTGTTCCTTAGGTCCCCTCATCCTCAAGTTCCTCTCATCTCCCACCTTCTCCTAATGCTGCCATTTAACCATGCCCCTATTCAGGGATTACTCAACCCCTAGTCCACCACTATTTTTCTGATTTACATCTCCTCCTCCCCCAGAAAAGCTATGTTCCGTATCGTGATAGCAAAATGACACGGATTCTCCAGGACTCTCTGGGAGGCAACTGCCGGACAACTATGTTCATCTGCTGCTCACCGTCCAGCTACAATGACGCAGAGACCAAGTCCACCCTGATGTTTGGGCAGCGGTGAGTGGCAGGGTCCCCAGCTCCCTGCCCAGCCCCTGCTGCTCTCTCCCCTCAGCGTTAGGCAAGTAATGAAGGTCTCATCACCTTGTTCTCTTCTCCTCACCCAGGGCAAAGACCATTAAGAACACCGCCTCAGTGAATCTGGAGTTGACTGCTGAGCAGTGGAAGAAGAAATATGAGAAGGAGAAGGAGAAGACAAAGGCTCAGAAGGAGACAATTGCAAAGCTGGAGGCTGAGCTGAGCCGTTGGCGCAGTGGTTAGAGAAGAGTCCTGTGGGCATGAGAGTCAGTGGGAGGAGGAGGGGGCTTAGGGAGCCAGAGAAGGCCCTGTCTGGGGTGGAACTTAAGGGTAGGCCAATCTCCAAGGAGGGCTTTGTTCCTGGAGGGGTTCAGTGGGGCGGTCATGAGGGAAAAGGAGACAGGCTGACTACCGTATCCCCACCCCCCAAAAGAAAGGTCCACTTAGCAAGAGAGATATGAGCAGTGAAGGAGGAAGGACTGGAGGATGCAGCTCTTTCTTCTCCCACCCCTCACTTTGTTCTGCCCCTTTGCCAGGAGAGAACGTGCCTGAGACAGAGCGCCTGGCTGAGGAGGATGCAGTCCTGGGAGCCGAGCCCTGCGAGGAGATACCTGTGAACGACAACTCCTCCATTGTGGTGCGCATCGCGCCCGAGGAGCGGCAGAAGTACGAGGAGGAGATCCGCCGCCTCTACAAGCAGCTTGATGACAAGGTGAGGACAGTTAGGCAGGGCAGGAGAGGAGTCCAGTGGAATGAGAAGTGAGGGGTTAAAAAATTACCTTTAATGCCCTTATATGATTTTAAAAGGGGTAAATGCTCATTATTGAAATGTGGGAGAAAAAGAAAGATATGTAGAAGGAAATTAAAACATCCATTATCCCACCATTAAGAAATAACACTATTAACACTTTGCTTTTCTTTGGGTTTATACCATGCAATTGAGATATACTGTATATATAACTTTGCATTAGATTTTTCATTCAGTATTATATAATGAGCAATTTCCTACTTTATTAACAATTCTTCATAAAAGTATTTTAAAACGACTGCCTAACAGTCTGCATATCAGTGTACTTAACCATTCACTTATTACAGGGCTTCCAGTTTTTTGGGGGTTCTTTGCTAATTATTATAAATAATTAACTTTATTGAAATGACTAACTTTGCCTCTCTGCATAAGATTCTGCTTTTGAGTGATTTGGATAGACTGGAGTGCTAGGGTGGGATTTCTAGGTTAAAGGATATGAATATTTTAAGGCTTTTGCTATGTATTGTCAAGGTTATACCAACTTCCAGGAAGAAAGGAATTTAAAAGTGAGGGCAGGAGTTGAGGAAAGAAGCTAAGGAAAAGCCGTCTTTTTAGGATATGAGTTTTAACTCAAAACCTAAATTATCTGGATTTTATTAGGGTCCTATCTGTCCCTCAGCCCCATAAATCTAAACTGGTACGATTTGCTTCCCTTCATTCCATTTCCCCCTTGCCTCCAACAGGATGATGAGATCAACCAGCAGAGCCAGCTCATAGAGAAGCTCAAGCAGCAAATGCTGGATCAGGAAGAGGTAATGGGGAGGAAGGCAAGACCTGAGAGGAGAGAGGTGTGTGTTCATTTCTGGAACACACACAAAGGACCTTTTCACAATCAGATGAGAGAAGGGGCATTCTGCTAGGGTTTAGGCACCCCCAAAACTGTGGAGGTCTGGGGACTTAATTGGGGCTTTGCTTAAAGCACAGTTATGGCATCTAGGTGCTTCTTCATTCTGTTGTCCTGTTTCTAAGAAGCCTAAAGCCCACTTTTTCTTGACTCTTACTTTGGCCCTTGCCTTTCTCTTAAGAGCCATGCCTGGGTGGGGGGCTCAGCTTCCCCAGAGCAGGGGGCCACAGAAGTGGTCACTGGCAGCAGACTCCCTCACATGCCTCCTCTGATTTGAAGCTGCTGGTGTCCACTCGGGGAGACAATGAGAAGGTCCAGCGGGAGCTGAGCCACCTGCAGTCAGAGAATGACGCCGCTAAGGACGAAGTGAAGGAAGTGCTGCAGGCCCTGGAGGAGTTGGCTGTGAACTACGACCAGAAGTCCCAGGAGGTGGAGGAAAAAAGTCAGCAGAACCAGCTACTGGTGGATGAGCTGTCTCAGAAGGTGGTGAGTGGCTGACTGGGATCCAGGAGCTCCCTGGCCTCAGGACATCCTCCATGTCCAAAGGGACCATTGCTTCCTTCCAGAGCTGCACTGTGTTTGCATCTTTGTACTGCTGTCAAGTGTGTTGTGAGGACCCCCTGCCCTGAGCTGCTCACTGCACTTTGCCCTCCTGACCCCTCTTTCTTCCAGGCTCTTCTACAGGGCCTGGGTTCTCTTCACAGCAGCCATCAGGGTCATGCATGAAGGGAGAGGCCTCTGCCTGGGCTGGGGAGGGTAGCAGGAAGATGGTGATAGGATGACTTGAGGGGCTGTCCCCAGGCCACCATGCTGTCCCTGGAGTCTGAGTTGCAGCGGCTACAGGAGGTCAGTGGACACCAACGAAAACGAATTGCTGAGGTGCTGAATGGACTGATGAAGGACCTGAGTGAGTTCAGTGTCATCGTGGGCAACGGGGAGATTAAGCTGGTGAGTAGAGAAAGAAGTAGAAGTTTTGTTCAGGTCATTTTCGTTCTGGGCATTGGTGGGAGATGCAAGACGAGACAATCCAGGCTGTAAGGGACACTGAGAAGGGTGGGCCAAAGATCCAGGAAACACACCCTTTAACCAGACCCAGGAAAATAAGTAGACGTTTGCATAGACTCAATTTAAAATAAACCTTCTGCCCGGCCAGTGTGGCTCAGTGGTTGAGCATCGACCCATGCACCAAGAGGTCGCCGGTTCAATTCCTGGTCAAGGCACATGCCCTGGTTTTTGGGCCAAATTCCCAGTGGGGGCGTGCAGGAGGTGGCCAGTTGATGTTCCCTCTCATTGATGTTTCTGTCTTTCTCTCCCTCTCCCTTCCTTTCTCTCTAAAAATCAATAAAGAATAAAAAACAAACACCTCCTAAAGAGTGCTGAATAAAGAAGCCATGGAAGAGCATATGATATCTTGCTCCCTGGCATAAGTGGTCACTTTGGCTCAAATAAAGTCTTATTAAAAGTCTCTAAAAAAAGAAGCAGCAGCAATGCAGATGTGGTTATAGCAGGATTAGAGATGGGGACACAAAATTAGAAATGATATATGCAAATCTGTAGCAAGGACAGTGACCCATCTGGGTGATCAAGCAGAACAGTTTGACTGAAAAAGAAAATCCAATTGCTTTATAAGATAGAAGAGGGTGACTGATGGAATTGGATCTTTAAGTGCAGATAGAGGGGTTTAGTGTGAGATGCCAGGTGATGGCTGATAAAAAGTTGTTTGAAGAGTACCTGTCCCACCGGAGTCCCTGTGCATGTGGGTGTGTGCCGGGATAAGCAGAGTGGAAGGGAATGGATTAAAGGTCTCCTACAGCAGAGCACCTCTTCCCTCCCTTACTCTTAACAGCCGGTGGAGATCAGTGGGGCCATTGAGGAGGAGTTCACTGTGGCTCGACTCTACATCAGCAAAATCAAATCAGAGGTCAAGTCTGTGGTCAAGCGGTGCCGGCAGCTGGAAAACCTCCAGGTCGAATGTCATCGCAAGATGGAAGTGACTGGGCGGGAGCTCTCATCCTGCCAGCTCCTCATTTCCCAGGTGAGTGCCAGAGGTTGAAACCTTTGTGTGACGTGGGAGAAAGAGGGCAACTCTGGATATGAGATAAAACTCCTAGCACCTACCTTTATGTCAAGGGCCTAGGGTCAACTGAAGTCAAGGGCAGAAGAGCTTGGGTTAGCAGGGGAGGGTCTGGGCCAGAGAAGTGAAGGTTCAGGGGGAATATTGGCCTCTGAGCTGATGGGGTCTAAAGAAAGGGTTTCTAGAAGCATGGCCCTCGACTTTGCATCCTCATGGAAGGCATGGCAGGAGCAGAGGGCCTAGGAAGAGAGCTGGAGTTTACAGTGGTCTGTGCTGCCCAGAGTGGTGACCTTTGTTCCATCCATCTTCTTCCTCTCACCAACCCTTCCCTTGCCAGCACGAGGCCAAGATCCGCTCGCTTACGGAATACATGCAGAGCGTAGAGCTAAAGAAGCGGCACCTGGAAGAGTCTTATGACTCCCTGAGTGATGAGCTGGCCAAACTCCAGGCCCAGGGTGAGGCCTCCTTAAACCTCTAACTATCCATCCTGGGATCTGAGATTCCAGAGGGGGCAGGGAGGGAAAGTGACAAACATCAAAAGAAACTACCCGAAAGCAAACTCCCCCAAGGCATGAGACTGAACTCACGGAGACCAACTCACATGCTACTTGGCAAGTTTTTGCATGTAGGTTATTGTACACAAACCATAAATACTCCATTGTCCTCTGCCCCTGCTATATCAAATTGGGCTGTCCTAACCCAGAAGAACATACCTGTGGACTCATTGTGGGTAGAGGTCCCCTGCCCTGCCTTGAGGTCTGGTCACAATGTGAAGTTCTTCCCCATGGAGGCAGGTGTGGTGTAAGCTGTCTTTCCCTCTTAGAAACTGTGCATGAAGTGGCCTTGAAGGACAAGGAGCCAGACACACAGGATGCAGCTGAAGTGAAGGCAAGTGGGGAAGGTGTGGGGACGACGGGGGCCCGGCAGGGCTCTGCTGGCGTCACTGAGCTGGTGTTGGGGAGTCTGGCTTTGAGCTTGGGGTGGTGTCGTTTGCAGAAGACCCTGGAGCTGCAAATGGAGAGTCACCGGGAGGCCCATCACCGGCAGCTGGCCCGGCTCCGGGACGAGATCAATGAGAAGCAAAAGACCATTGATGAGCTCAAAGAGTAAGCTCCCCAGGGCAGCTCTGGTCTCTACCTGGTCCTCTTGCCCAGCTGTGCCCACTCAAATGCTCTCTCGGATCCTGTTCTTTAACTTATTTGTGTCATTCCCCCAACAATGACAAGACTTTGCAGCCCAACTCCAGGAGGTACAAGGAGAAAGGCTTAGTCCCAGTCCTTGAGGCTTTTCTGACTAGATAGCTCAGGGTTTCTTACTCTGTCATGGAAACAGTGGCCTGAGTCTGCCTGTGATATCTGAAGGTAGATACATCAATTCTAACTGGACTCACTCATACAAGAGGGAAAATGCTTGAGGAGCTGGTTTTCCCTTTCCCCATTATTCACACCTTTTTTTTCTCTCCATCCCTCTTGCCCTCCACAGCCTAAATCAGAAGCTCCAGTTAGAGCTGGAGAAGCTTCAGGCAGACTACGAGAAACTGAAGAACGAAGAACATGAGAAGAGCACCAAACTCCAGGAGCTGACGTGAGTGCTGGGGGCCACCTTCAGACCGGCAGCCGCATAGGCACAGACTGTGACTCAGCCACGCCTGTGGAGGCAGGCTGCAGTGTAGTAGTGAATGTGGAGACCATAGAAAGCAAATGCTTCAAAATAATAATTTGATGGGGTGGGGAAGGGAGAAAAAGGAGACTTTCAGAAATGACCTCTATTAAATATTAGCTGACATGGAAAGATGTTTGTGATGTTCCGTTAAGTGTGAAAAGCAGGTTACAAAACAGTATGAGTGGCATGATCCCATAAAATGTATATGGGATGTACATGTGTAGGAAAAAGAGTCTGGAAAGATGGACACCATGATGTTAACGGTGGTTTGATTTGTAAGTAGTAAAACATGGGCTTTTTTTTTTAATCCTCACCCGAGGTCATTTTTGCATTTATCTTCAGATAGAGCGGGAGGGAAAAAGGGAGGAAGAGAAAAAGAGAAACACATTGAGTGGTTGCCACCCACACGACCCCAACCAGACCGGGGACAAACTGCAACCGAGGTACGTGCCCTTAGCAGGAACCGAACCCGGGTCTCTCTGGTCTGCGGGCCGATGCTCTAACCGCTGAGCCGAACCAGCCAGGACAGCATGGGCTTTCTATGAAACTCGTTTTCCTTATCTTTTTTTTCCCTTTTCTAATTTCTGCACAGTGAACATGAGTAACTTGTATAATAAGTAATAAAAAAAATGTAAAAGAAATGGAGGCGGGAGGAGAGTCCTGAGAGAGTCTTCTGTTTTCCTCTTCCTCCAGATTTCTGTACGAGCGACATGAGCAGTCCAAGCAGGACCTCAAGGGTCTGGAGGAGACAGTTGTAAGTAGTTTTCATCTGTGCTGAGTTAACGAGGTTGGGGGGCTTCATTTATTTATCCGGATTTCTTCCTAACCCCATTCCTCATGCCCTCTGCAAAGTCAGTCTGTGGCATAATCAGGACACACCTTTTCCTAAAGGATGGGTGGGTGACTCACTTCACTGAATAGGCTGAAGGTCGATCTGGTATTTGGCTATCCGTGTTTCATTATTCTTTCCAGGCCCGGGAACTCCAGACCCTCCACAACCTTCGCAAGCTGTTCGTTCAAGACGTCACGACTCGAGTCAAGAAAGTGAGTGCCATCGTTGCTCGGGCTCTTCCCAACCCCCATCTTCTCCTCCTGTTCTCAGGTTCCTGCAGCCCTTTGGTCTCCTGTGGGCTGCCTTGGCCTGATCTGGGTGGGACCTGTTTGGCTTCAGGACAGCTGCATCTTTTCCTCTGTCTTTAATCAGAGTGCAGAAATGGAGCCCGAGGACAGTGGGGGGATTCACTCCCAAAAGCAGAAGATTTCCTTTCTTGAGAACAACCTGGAACAACTTACAAAGGTTCACAAACAGGTAAGAGTTGGGGGAAGGAGTGAAGAGAACCCTTGAGACCAGGTGCTTGGGATACCAAATCCTCGGCGCCCCCTTGGATTTAGGAAAATCTACTTGCATGTTTTCCTTACTTTTCCCACTAATCCCTTGTTTATACCAGATTTGGTTCCACGTTTACTTTGTTCTTTGTTCCATGCCTGTTTTCCCTTCTCAAGGCTCCCAACCAGCCTCTGCTCAAAGTGGAATCTCTAGGCCTATGTTGTTGGAGGGAAAGGTTAAAATTGATAGAGGCTTTGGAGGCATGGGGCTGTTAACTATTCACAAGAGATACTGGTCAGACTTTAGCTATAAATAGAAAGCAGCGAGACAAGAAGCAGCCAGGGAAGTTGGGCTTTCTCTCATGGAGATAGCTCCACCTGCCTAGGCCTGGGGCAGACATGCAGGGAAATTCAGTGATGTTCTCTAGATGGCCCACCCAGCCCCTGGTTGGGGCCAGGCAAAACTCCCGTGTATTAAGTTACTGCCTCTCTGTCCCCCTCCTGCTGCTGCGGTGCCTTAGGTGGATGACTGGGTTTCAAAGGTATGGGGCGGGGAGGTAGATGGGGCAGTCCAAATGAGTCCGGACAGGAAATGTTTGGTGCAGACAGAGCCAAATAGCTGAGCCTTGAAGACAGGTGCAACAGTCTATCAACTGGTTATTTTAACTGATTCATAAAATAAACCCTAACCTGTACTTAATTCCCTTCCTTTCAAATCCACTTTAAAATTCCTCTTAAACTCATATTCTCGTTAAACTGGACCTTAAACTTCTTTTTCTCCCAGTATACAGCCCAGCATATATAGTAGATACTCAGTACCTTTCTGTTGTTGTTGCTGTTGTTGTTGCTGATCCTCATGCAGGGATCATTGACTTTTTTGAGAGAGTGGAAGGGAGGGAGAGGGAGAGAGAGAGGAAAGAGAGAAGAGAGAGAGAAACATCTGTCTGAGAGAGATACATTGATTGGTTGCATTCCACATGAGTGGGAATCAAACCCTCGACCCTACGGTGCTTGAGCTAATGCTCACACCGGCCAGGACTTAAAAAAAATAATAATGGCAAAAATCACAGAACTGTGGCCCAGTGCTAGTCTGCAAGGTTTGTTTTATCTGGGCTTGCAGAGAGCTTTACTACCATCTCTCCCCCTTGCTTGTTATAAAACAGTATAACATTATAGGAAAGGTAAAAAATAAGGAAGAAACATTTGTTATCAGTTCTGCCATTCTTTTTCATTTCTTTGTGTTCATTTTCCTTCTCTGTCTAAATGCATATTATATTGCCTTTTCCCTCAAAGTTTTTATTGTGGTAAAATACACATAACATAAAATTTACCACCTTAATCATTTTTAAGTGTGCAATTCACTGGCATTAAACACATTAATAGTGTTGTGCAGCCACCATCACCGTCCAGCTCCAGAACTCTTCATCCTGTAGAACTGAACTCCACGTCCATTAAATAGTAACTCCTTCTTCCCTTCTCCCCCCAGCCCCTGGCACCTACCATTCTCCTTTCTGTCTCTAGGATTTTGGCTACTGTAACTACCTCATAGAAGTGGAATCATACAGTATTTGTCCTTTGGTGACTGGTTTATTTCACAGCATAACATCCTCCAGGTTCATCCATGTTGTGGTCTATGTCAGAAAACCACAGACTGTTTCCTTTCCCCCAACTGAAGCCTCTACCTCTACTCCAGACCCAAAGACCAAAAGCTGCTCACTCATAGGACAGAGGCACCTCAAGATTTCCTACCTCAGCAGACACGAGGCTAGAAAGGAAAATGATAGAGGTGTAGAAACTTCTCTGTTAACCGGATCTTAAATAGCCAGGGCTATTTAATAATGGGTTATAGACCCATTACTAATTAAACTATCATTCCAGCAAAACACAGTTTATAATCTGTAAATTGTCTAAAATTAAAGGACACAGAAGTATTTCTAGCTCTGTCCTTTCTCCCAGCGTTCCCAGCTACACTGATTTCCCTATCTTCTAAGGCCGGCTCCTTTGGCCATCTATAGTACCCCCAGTCATGTGTGAGATCCTGTAAAAAGATCAGGATGTCTTTTCTGGCTGGAAGGTGGTTGCTACCACACTGTAACTTAATTTATATGGGGGAGGGACAGCTTAGGAAATTCTTGACTGTGAAGGTAATGAGCACAAATGTTTGTGAACCTCAAACATTTTCTTTCCTTCCTATGGGGCATCGCGTGTATGTGTGGGGGTGGGGGTGGGGGCTCCTGTATTCCAGCTTCTGCTCCTGCTCTGCACTGTACCTCACCTGCACTCAATGCCATATCCACCCTCCAAACTGCCACTGTGCTCTTGTTACCCTGCCCTGTGCATGCCCATAAAACCATCTCTGGGAGAGGGGGTGCCTCATCCCCATGGTTGCCTTGGGGCTGTTGGTTTGGCACAAGCTGTAAGATATTGGGGGGGGTGTCTAGGTCAGGGGGAGACTGGGACAGGTTGCTATCACAGGAGTTCTGGGCTACAATGGAATTGGCACATTTTGCTGCCCAGAAAATAATGTGACTTTTTATAATGCCTGACCACCATTTGCTCAGGGAAAAGGAAAGAACTGGCTAAAACAGCAAGTTAGGTCAAGAGAATGAGGCTTTTAAGGAAACAACATGGTCTCCGTCTTCTCTGACTTGATTTTTCTTTATTCTCTCTCCCCCCACCTGCACCCCACACTCCACTACTGGCTCTGTCTTGGGTCACCTGCCTTTCTTTTCACCTCTTCCCTTGGGCTCACCCTGCAGCTGGTACGTGACAATGCAGATTTGCGTTGTGAGCTTCCTAAACTGGAAAAACGACTTAGGGCTACGGCTGAGAGAGTTAAGGCCCTGGAGGGTGCACTGAAGGAGGCCAAGGAGGGCGCCATGAAGGACAAGCGCCGGTACCAGCAAGAGGTAGACCGAATTAAGGAGGCCGTTCGGTACAAGAGCTCTGGCAAGAGGGGCCATTCTGCCCAGATCGGTGAGTGAGGAGTGGATGGCAGTTGGCAAGGTGGGATTACCACCTGGGGAAATTAAGCAAATTCCTAAGTGTTGAGCAACTAGATTATTGCTTTTTACTCTACCTGCCCCTCATCATCACTCCCCAAAAGTATAAAAGTGAATTACCTTCTAAGTAACTCAGTTCAACTAAATGACCTCAGGGACCAGGGCAACTTAAGGGTAACAAGCCTCCTCAGGGTCATTTTCCTTTCTTTATTACAGCCAAACCAGTCCGACCTGGCCACTACCCAGCATCCTCACCCACCAACCCCTATGGCACCCGGAGTCCTGAGTGTATCAGCTACACCAACAGCCTCTTCCAGAACTACCAGAATCTGTACCTGCAGGCTGCACCTAGCTCCACCTCAGATATGTAGTGAGTGACCAAGGGCGTGCACTGAAGCCCCAACCTGGGGTTCTCTGCACCCTATAAGGCATAAGTTTGGGTCACTTATTGGGTGAGACTTGATTCTTTCCCTATGTAGCTTCATTAATTCTTTCTCACAATCCTTAGAAGGTGGGCATCTGTCTTCCCAGCCTGGGACCATGTTTGTTTTCTGTTCTCGGGAGAGGAGAGGGGTGTACGGCTCCATCCCTGAGGGTGTGTGGACGTGTCCCTGGCATAGTGGAGGGTGGGTGCCAGAAGCTGCCTCTCCTTCTTCTGCTCCATCCAGCTTTGCAAACTCCTGTACCAGCAGCGGGGCCATGTCTTCTGGAGGCCCCTTAGCTTCCTACCAGAAGGCCAACATGGACAATGGTGAGTGAGAAAGATGGGTCACCAGCCTTTAGGATCCCCAGGGCAAGTTCAAAAGTGTAAGAAAAGTAAGTGACCCTGTACCTACACCTTGAACACTACCCATCGCTTCAGGGGCTTGGACTCATAAATAGATTCCTCTTATTACAGTACCTGTCCACTCCCTTACCTTCCTTTCCCCTTACCCTCTCCTTTATGAGGGAGCTAGGAGGTATTTTTCTCAGACAAAAATAACAATGCAGCATGGGGTAGTTGTAGATAGAGTGCCACAGACCCAGATAGCAGCTGTGCTCCAACAAGTGTTACCTTTCTCTCTAAGGAATTAGGATGAGAGAGAGTTTGGGGAAACTGTTTCTAATACCCAATCTCCATTTTTCTTCTAATCCTGTGTTCTCGATGATCTCTTCAGGAAATGCCACAGACATCAACGACAATAGGTACACCAGCCCCCACTGCCCTTGGGTTGTTTGGGTGGGACCAGAAGAAATGATTAAATTTCCCTCATGCCCTGTTTAGAGGCTCCCTGGAGCCTTCTAGGGAAGAAGGAGGAAATGAGAATCAGTCTTGCCATCATTGTGTTGTAGAAGATCCAGTCACTCCTCTGCCTCAGTGCAGAACACTGTCCCCTCCTCCAATCCCATCTGTGGCCTCTCTCCATTCCAGTAATGGGGGCTGGGGAAAATGCCATGGACACCTGGTTACTCACCCACCTTTGGGAACTTTGTGACCTTGGGCAAGTCAGCTCCATCTCCCTGGCCTTGTTTTTCCCTGTATTCTTATAAAACCTGAATGGTCACCGCGCTTCACTATCTCACAGGAATGCTGTGAGAGCAAAGTGACAGGAATGCTTTCATTTATTCTGAACTGACAATGCTGAGATTGTGCTGGGTCTCTTCTCCCAGGAGTGACCTGCCGTGCGGCTATGAGGCTGAGGACCAGGCCAAACTCTTCCCTCTCCACCAAGAGACGGCAGCCAGCTAATCTCCCACACAGACTGCTGCGTTTCCGCACTTTCAGGTAGCTTCAGGCCACTTCCTCTGACTAGCCTCAGGTTGCCTACTTTCCTCGGCCTCTTGTTTCTTCTGCCTTTTTCATTATCTCAAAACTTATACTACATAGTTGTCCCCCAACTCCTGCCTTTCCCCTCTGTGGCCTACATTTGTGCTGCTCCAAGTCCTCTGGACACTGATCTCCCTTCCCCCTTTATACTTTCTTTTTGGCAATAGTAGTAACCACAGTACTGCCTTTCTTCCACTAGGGGTCACTGCCACATGTCAAAAGAAGTAAGAAAGGGTGGGTGGATCCAGAGCCACACACAGGTCATAGAATGCAGTAGATATTAGGAGACTTTGGGAGATCATCTCAACCCTCCCTCTGCCTCCACCCTAAAATAATTTCGGAAGGATAGGTATTTTCTAAGACATCTCCAATAAAGGAGATGTTTGATTTATTCCCGCATCTGTGTCTTATGCTCCTCATATCTGTATGTTAACAGAAGTTTTAGGAAATGCCCCGGAGTCTAACTTTCTGTTTATCCAGCTGCAGTGTTAGCACTCCGCTCTCAACTTTCTCAGTGGAGGTGGAAAACAGCTGTGTCCCCACCTCCAAGTCTCCCCGCCCTCTCCACCTCTGTCTCTTCTGTAGCAGCACAGGCACCTTCCTGCTTCTTGTATGTCACCAAGCTCCTCGCCATGGTTGCTTTAGGGCCCAGGACTGGGTACTGTGATCCTGTTTTATGGTCCACTTTGGATCCTTGGATAACTAAAAATGAGAGAACACAGCAGTCTCCTACTGGGCTGCATCCAAGCTGAGCCCTCTCCAGGGGTTTTCCAGGACAGTAGGCCAGGCACACAGAGGCAGAAAGGCATGAGAAGCAAAGAAGTAGGAATGGGGGAGGAGTTAGGAAGATATGGGGTGAAGGAGGAGAGGTTGGGAGAGTGGTGTGGATTGTTGGTATTAAAGGAACAAGACTATAAACCAAAGTCTGTACAAATGTCACCCTGTTCCTATTCTTTGGCTGGGCCGGGCCACAGGTGGTTGCTTACAACCTCTTTCTCTTTCTCCCCAGTTTCTAAGAGGGACTGAGGCCTCTTCTCTCAGCATGCTGCAAACCTGTGGTCTCTGATGCTAACTCCCTCCCCAACCCTTATTGTTCGACTGTACTATGTTTGATGTCTTCTCTTACTCTGTATCTCTTTGTATTCTGTATCTATATATCAAAAGCTGCTGCTATGTCTCTCTCTTCTGTCTTACTCTCTAAGTATCTAATGATGTATTTAGCAATTTCTAAGCATAGTATACCCTCCTTATTTGGCACAATAAGGAAGAGGGCGAATGTCTCTTTTTTCTCTCACATATGTGTCTCTCACACTGCGTGGTGTCAGTCACAGAGATGATAAAAGGAAAAACAGGAGCTAGAGGGCTGTGACCCTTCTCTCTCTCTCTCACACACACACACATACATACACACATACACACACACACACACACACACACACACACACAAAGCCTTAAGTGGAAGAATGTCTTAACATCATAAAAAGATACAGAAATAGACTCTTCCTCCCTCCTCTTTCACATATAGCACAGGGGAGGGTAAAATGGAAGGACTACTAAATTATATGTAGAATTTTCTTCATATACCCCTTACCCAAACCAAGGTAGTCCAGGTATGTACCTCTGCCCTTCAAAATCTGCCTTTTGCCTCCTTCTTCCTGGTCTCCCCTGGATGACCCAGAACATAGATTGCTCAAGGGACCACTTCCCTTTCTCCTCAAAATTCCTTTTGATATTCTCAACCTCAGAGATTCTGACCAGAATCTAGAGTTGCTTTGAAATATTTTGAAAAATTGAGGAGGCAGACCCTTCTGACAGTCTGTCAAATGTTTGCTCATCTGTCCATGGTGATAGTTATAGGCAAGCATAGTCAAATGATTGCTTCTTTGAGTTTGAGGGTGAACAGGTTGGGGAATTCCTAAGTATTTTTTGCCATGGGGATGAGCTGGGTTTCTTTCTCTGTCTCATATTGGGCTGAATTTCTTCCCATCTCCACCTTTTGGTTTGAGAGCTTCCAGTTCATTGGCAAAATGCCTATCTTGAGATGCCTTCCTTTCAAGGTCTGACCTGCCTTCTCCCCAATATACATTTTAAAACCTTTTTTTTTGACAGAGTTCCTTCTATAATGTACCCATCTGGTAAGTGCACTTTAAAGAAAGGGGCAAGGCAGATTTTCCAGATGTGAACTGGGAGTCTCTTCCCCCAATCCCCCCCCCGCCCCCCCCCCCCCCATGTAATTGATAAGACTGTTGTTTTGGTTTCAGACGTCCTTTCCTTTCACATGGTGCTAAGGTGGTTTTCCAGGTAACTGCAGGGATGGAGAATGGAGGTCACAAGCCAGTCCAAATCAAGAAAGCCTGGTGCCCAGATAGCCAGTCTTATCTAGGATGAAAGAACAGGATCTCCCAACAGCAGGGCAACCATCCCCTAGCTGCTGCTGCTTTTTTTTTTTTTTTAACTTTCATTCAAAGACATCTGGGCATGTATTTAAAGAGAGTCCTGTCCTTTTTTTTTTTTTTTTTTTTTAATATTTCTTCTTTACTGATACTTAGAGTGAGAGGAAGGGAGAGGGAGAAAGAGACAGAAACATTGATGAGAGAGAACATCGACTGGCCACCTCCTACATGCCTCCCCACTGGGATTGGGCCCACAACCTGGACATGTGTCCTGACTGGCAATTCAACCAGCAACCTCTTGGTGCGTGGGTGGACACTCAACCACTGAGCCACACCGGCCGGGCCCATCTCCTAGCTTCTAAGTCAGTAAAGAAATCTCAGTGTGAGGGAGAGTCAGCAAATCCAAGCTGTATTGGCCCAGGACCCCTGCAAGGATTGAAATTCCCTCTCCCTTTACCTCTTGGGCCCCTTTTAGCAATTAAGGAGAAATGCAGTGTGTGTGTTGGGGGTGGGGGAATGCCAGAGGGATGTGGAATAAATTCAAAGCAGTGAGAAATAACTACAAGTGATACAGACCTAGGAAGTTTGTATTTTCTTTGTTTGGTGGTAAATGCTTCATTTGTTGAGGAGTCCTTGAACAGCTCTAAGAGACCTTGAGAGTTCTGTAGAGTAGTTTGAAAACCACTGCTCTGGGGAAAGGCATTCCATCTGACTTCCCTGTCCCAAGCTTGCAACTCACAGCAAAGACGGCAAGGGTGGGTGAATGAGCCATCCTATCTCCAAGATCCAATCCAGGAGGAAGAAGATACCTGTGCACCTGTGGACTTGTGCTAATATTTTCCAGGAGGGCATTTAAAAATCCAGTGGGTTTTATGTAATCTTGCCACCAAATGATTCTTTTAAAACAAAAGAAAATGTAAAGGTGTAGGGCAGATGAGGAGAGAGGTAACAGAGGAAGCAGCCTTCTATTTAGCAAAATGTAAGAGAAATACAATTCACTTACATTGGTCAGAAACAACACACACACACAGCCTTCACCGGAAGGTTCACTCTACATCCTCCTCTTCTTCCCCCCGACACTCACTGCATCCCTTTCAGAAAGCCAGGATCACAAGGGGCACCTGGCCTGCCCACTCACATCTGCCAAAATGTTGCATGCCAGTGTGGAAGACAAAACAAAATGCACAAACCCCAGTGTGTATTTATTTGATGTACATAGATACCTTTAAAATAAAATAAATTCAATGATGACTCTGCTGTTGTAAATTTTTCCCTCCCCAATTTCTCCTTTCCCTGCATATTATGGCATTTGCCAGTGTGGTATATATCCTTGCAGATGTTTTTCTATATATCTCCCCCCACTTGACAATATAGCCTGGGGAGTCTTTTCATGTCAATATACATAGATTTATCTCATATGTGTGTATATGTGTGTGTGTGTGTGTATACATATATGAAGAGAACATACTGGAAGGGAAGCCATTTTTACTAGATTTATCTCATGTGTGTATGTGTGTGTGTATGCATATACACACACACACATATATGAAGAGAACATACTGGAAGGGAAGCCATTTTTACTAGATTTATCTCATATGTGTGTATGTGTGTGTGTGTATGCGTATACACACACACACACACATATATGAAGAGAACATACTGGAAGGGAAGCCATTTTTACTAGTTTTCACTGGGGGACTTCTGTGGTTTGAAAGCAGGAATGGCTGTCTATATGAGACAAGCATTCCCTGCTCGGGAAGCAGATCCAGTCAGAGAATCTGAAGGCTGCTTCCCGATGTGTGTGTTACTGGACTTTATTTTCAGGGCAGAGGAGGAAGTGACTTCTGGGAGAAGATCCTACAGGTCCTCTCTGGGTATCAATCACAGATGCAGAAAGTGCCCACTCTCTGACCAGGCTGTCTTCCCCCTTTTGTTCCAAAAAAACCTTGGGCCACTTTTCTTTAAAGCCCATGGCTTTCCCTCTCCTGACTGAAGCAGCCATTACTTCCCAGAAGAACTGGCTCTGGGAAGCTTGTAAACTGTAAAAATACAAGGTTTGGCTAGTGCTGCCACTGAGATGGTCATCCTCAGGATGCCGAGCACACTCATGCTGTAGTTTCCCGGCCATAATGTAAGCTCCTTTGGCTCAGGAGACCAAGTTTCCTATTTTATTCCATCAGAATTACTTGAATTTTATCTACTTGAATACAATTTTGATGTAAATACAGAAGAGTTTAAGCCCAAAGTAAGTGTAAAATAATGGATAACAAGCATGAAAGTTTGATTCACCTTCAGGTTTCATGATGCGCTGAACAGGTAAACTGTGTCCATTTGCATCTGTAGCAATGTATGTTTTCAAGTCCACTGTGTAGCCCTAATTATTGACATCAACTGTTTTTCTGTTTTGTTTTTTTTCTGCCTCTTCCAATTGTAGATTGGTTATTTTGTCAAAATTATGAAAAGTGTTATTGTCATTATATTGCCATTCTTTGAAGTCACTGATATATATATATATAATTTCAAATATTTATCCTATAATTTATTCAACTATTCCACTATTGATGGACATCTTTCTAGGTTGTTGGTAATTTTTTTTTATCCTCACCCAAGGACATTTTTCCATTTTTTGTTCAGATAGAGTGGGAGGGAAAGAGAGGAAGGGAGAGAAAGAGAAACATCTACGTGAAAGGGACACATCGAGTGGCTGCCACCTGCACAACCCAACTAGGGCCAGGGACGAACTGCAACCAAGGTACGTGCCCTTAGCGGGAACCAAACCTGGGTCTCTCTGGACTGCAGGCCACGCTCTAACCGCTGAGCCAAACCGGCCAGGGTGTTTGTTGTTGGTAATTTTTAACAAAAAGTGGTATTCTGCCCTGGCCAATTTGGCTCAGCAGTTAGAGTGTCAACCCACAGAGAGTCCTGGGTTCAGTTCCTGCTAAGGGCACGTACTTCGGTTGCAGTTCGTCCCTGGCCCTGATTGGGGTCGTGTGGATGGCAACCAGTCAATGTGTCTCTCTCACATTGATGTTTCTCTCTCTTTCTTCCTCCCTTCCTCCTTCCCACTCTATCTGAAGATAAATGCAAAAATGTCCTCGGATGAGGATTTTTAAAAAATGGTATCCTGTTCTCTTTTTCCCCCCAGACCATCACCTCAGTCCCAGCATTAATTCTGTCCCTTTCCAGTGTGTCTCTATCCTGCCCTTGTCACTAGCTCAATTCTCTTGTCCCATGATCATCTACAACAATCACCCTCCTAACTCCCACTTTAGAGCTTACCCCTACCTGTCTTCTCTACTCATACCTCAAAGCTGCTGAGATGAATGGAAAAAACTGCACAACCAAAACACTGGGCCCTGGCCGGTTTGGCTCAGCGGTTAGAGCGTCGGCCTGCGGTCCAGAGAGACCTGGGTTCGGTTCCCGCTAAGGGCATGTACCTCGGTTGCAGTTTGTCCCTGGCCCTGGTTGGGTCGTGCAGGTGGCAACCACTCCATGTGTCTCGTTCATGTCGATGTTTCTCTCTCTCTCTCTCCCTCCCACTCTATCTGAACAAAATATGGAAAAATGTCCTCGGTGAGGATAAATAAAATAAAATTCTAAAAAAAAACCCCAAAACACTGGGGCAACTAAAAACAAAGAACCCACAAACCTAACTGTACTTTCCTGCTGCTTAATCTCCCTTCTGTGTATCCTTGCAGTTTCCCCTTCCCATCCCAGGGCAACTGGTCTAAACCCTCACACTTCAAGACCCCTTCTAACCTTCCTCTCTTAGGCAACAACTTTGCTTTAAAGGGAAAATTAAGGCTATTGAACATGAAATTCTTCACCCCCCACCCCCATACACCTACATACACACTTACACATATCTGCACAGATCCTTTCCTCTCTCCCTCTGACAAGTGATAAATCTCCCTTCTCTGGGTTAAAGCAAGCCTCTTCTAGATGCTTCATTCTTGAAACACTCAGAGTCTAACATAAAATAACTAAAAGTGATGCAGACTTGGGCAGTTTGCATCTTCTTTGTTAACTTCTGTCTCAATGATCTCTTCTCCTTTTGAAGTCTCACTTAAAAGTCCCTCTCTTTAGCCCTGGCTCAGCAGTTATATGAGTCACTGGTTTGATTCCAGTCAAGGGCACCTACCTGGGTTGTGGCCCTGGGCCGGCACTCATGCAGGACACAACCAGTCAGTGTGAGAGATCTCTCACATTGATGCCATCTCCCCCTCCCCACCCATCTGAAGATAAATGGAAAAATATCCTTGAGTGAGGATTTTTTATTTTATTTTATTTATTTATTTTTTATCCTCACCCGGGGATATTTTTCCATTTTTTGTACAGATAGAGTGGGAGGGAGAGAGAGGAAGGGAGACAGAGAGAGAAACATCGATGTGCATGGACACATCGAGTGGCTGCCACCCGCACGACCAACCAGGGCCGGGGACAAACTGCAACCGAAGTACGCGTCCTTACTGGGAACCGAACCCGGGTCTCTCCGGACCGCAGGCCAACGCTGGCCAGGGCTGAGTGAGGATTTTTTAAAAAATAAGTCCGTCACCATCTGTTTTCTTACAACCAAATTTCCCCCAAAACTCCCAGACTTACCCAGCTGGTGTGGCTCACTGGTTGAGCATCGACCCATGCACACACCAAGAAGTTGCCAGTTCAATTTCCAGTCAGGGCACATGCCCAGGTTATGGGCCAGGTCACTAGTGGGGGGCATGCAGGAGGAGGCCAATTGATGCTCTCTCTCATTGATGTTTCTATCTCTCTCTCCCCCCTTCATCTCCAAAATCAATAAAGAAAGAAAAAAAAAAAAATCCCAGACTTCCCATCCCCACTTCCTTACCTCCCACTCACTCTTCAGCCCACCTTGATCTGGCTCTTGGTCTGGTGAAACTGCTCCAAAGGTCACTAGTTACCAAGTACAATTGGCACTTACTTCTTTGTCCTTGTCTTGCTTCACTTCTCTGTGACATTTGACACTGCTCTTCACTCCTTCCTTTTTTAAAAAATAATTTTTTTTTCTTTATTGATTTGAGAGAGAGAGGAAGGGAAAGGGAGAGAGAGACACCAATGAGAGAGAACATCAATTGGCCACCTCCCGGATGCCCCCCACCAGGGATCAGGCCCATAACCCGGACGGGTGCCCTGACCAGGAATCCAACCGGCGACTTCTTGGTGCAGTTTCAAGAAGGAAGGAGTGCCCATCTGTTGTGGCCCACTTTTTGCCAAAACTGCACCTTTTCATGTTGCCACCATCTCTCTTCACCTCAGCCCGAAGCCTGTGATTCATTCTCAATGTCTTGCTTTCCCTCAAACCCCTCACATCACCAAGAATGTTCCAAATTGACATCAAACTATACCTTTAGATGTCATCCCTTCTTTCCATTATAACCGTTACTGTTTTATATGTTCATCTGTTTTATGTTCATCATCTCATGCCTAGACTTTTGCAGTACTCCAGGAACCCTGCAAAATGATGCAGAGTGGTCCTTCTAAAAACAGACACATTTCACCCTTGATGCGTGGCTTAGTTGGTTGGGCGCCATCCAGTGCACTGAAAGGTTACAGGTTCGATTCCCGAGGTCAGAGCACAAGCCTGGGTTGAGGGTTTCATGCCCGATAGGGGGCGTGCGGAGGCAGCTAACTTAGATGTTTCTCCCCCTCTGTCCAAAAAATTTTTTTAATCTTAAAAAATAAATTTAAAAAACAGGCACATTTAATACATGAAAAACATTTAAGGGTTTATTTCCTTACGAAACCGCTTTTGGGTTAGCCTCAGGCGGGAGGTTACTGCTAGAAAGTGGACAAAACCGGTAGGGGGCGACTTTGCAGCAAAGAAGTTCCCGAAGGAGTGAAACAGGCCAGCCCAGGTCGCATCCCCGCGGCCTCGGTGACCCGGCCGGGTCTCGCGGATCCCGCGCAGCCCTCCCGGAACCCGGCTTCCGCGCGCCTGCTCGGGATCCAGGTGAGCCCACCCACCGCGCCGGCGTTGGTGCGAGTCGGCGCCAGTGGGCGCGGCCTACATCACCCCGCCCACCCCAGCCCGCCGGGGCGTCTGCTGGCCCGCCTCCGGTCACGTGACGGCAGCGCAGGTGAGCACCGCTTCCGGGGTCGGGAGCCCGGATCGCTGCCGGCTCTAGCTTCCACTGGGTCGGGTACGCGGGAGACCATGGCGTCCTCCTCGGCCCCGCCGGCCACCGTACCGGCGAGTACCGCGGGCCCCGGCCAGGGTTTCGGCTTCGCTTCCAAGACCAAGAAGAAGCATTTCGTGCAGCAGAAGGTGAAGGTGTTTCGGGCGGCTGACCCCCTAGTGGGCGTGTTCCTGTGGGGCGTAGCCCACTCGGTGAGACCCGGCCCTCCCCCCTCCCCCCGGTGGCCCTGTCCGAACCCCTCAAGCTCCTGCGCCTCGGGGTATCCCTGTCTCCAGGCTCTCGTCTCTGGTGCCCCTCGAGCTGCCACTTTGCCCATGTGCTGTCCTCTTCCCTGCTCGCCAGTGTCCAGGTGTATCTTCTCACTAGACTTTTTTTTAACCATAGACTTTGTCTCCCTCTCCGCCCTTTACTCCTCCACGCTAGTTCCGCCTTCCCACCTGAAATCCAGCTCCCTGCCTGCCTGCCAGATCCAGCCCCAGCCCCAGCCCCAGCCCCAGCCCCAGCCCCAGCCCCAGCCTGCAGAGACCGGCCGGGACCCGGCTCCAGCTAGAGGGACTTGGGGGGAGTGGCTTTTCTGGGTTGGTGGTGGTGAGGTCTCCGATGAGAATGTGTGTGTGAAAGGGGAGCAGGGAGAGTAGATCGTTCATTTTCCTTTCCACCTTACTTTCCAGCTGCCGTCCTTGACTTTGGAACCTTGGCTTTGAGGGAAGCTCCAGGCTTCCCGGACCTTCTAATCCTGCTGTCCCTTCCTTTCCCTTCCGAGGTACAGCCTTTCAGAGAAGATACACCTTCCTGAGCCTAGTGGTTGCACTCACTCAGCCTTTGGTCTTACCTGCATCCCCATTGTTGGCTGGAGTGATCGATGTTTGGTGTAAGCTCTGGTCATGGGAACACTGTGGTGGTGAACCTTAGAAGCAAGAAACTGCTGAAGGAATCACAGCCATTGCGTCCTTCCCTTAGATCTGGAGCGAGAGGGATGCAGTGACCTTGAATGTGACAGGCAGTATTTTATAAATCAACTTCCTTGAATTGTTATAGTTGTGGCAGGGTGGTGGAGGTGGAAGGGGTTGAGGAAGAATACAGTTTTGTCACATTCTTAATTTGTGGTTTAAAATGTTGTTTGGGGTCTGTTAGCTCCGTTTTTTAATTTGTGGCTCTGTGGACTGCTCCCAGCTCCTTGGGTGGTAATGTCTTTTCAGTGAGTACCCATCTAAAGCACTTGGTATGGGCAAGGCTAATGGAGGCTCTCATATGTACCTTCCAGGTGACTCATTCATCCCTTTGGAAAGCTTAACAAGAAGGGTTTTCCTTTAGTAAAGATTGAGGGAATTACACAAAAGACCTGCCTCAGCTTCCCTAGGTCTACATACTTGAGCTTCAACACACTACCTTCCAGCCAACACACGTTACTTCAAGTGTCTGGAATGAGTCATCTTAGTGATGATTCAGCCTGCTTTACAGCAGGTGGCTTAGAGGGGGCATGAAGAACTATAGCTGAATTTTAGGCTGGGAATCTCAAGTGGCCTCTTTTTTTTTTTTTTTTCCTGGAGGAGTATGTTCTGTCCTCCTTTTCTACTGAGAATAAGAGGATCTGGGTTTCACTGCAGTGTATGGGATTTAGGTTAGACTGCACTTCATAACCTCTGTCGAATGCTCAAGTAAGGATAGGCAAGGCATCCATTTATTCAGTTCATAAACACTGCAGGACCTCTGTGTGCCAAACATTTTGCTAGCTAGGCATCTGAGAGATGCAGACAACTAGAACTGCTCCTTGAGCTGGAAGAGCTCACAATCTAGATGGGGAACTTACATAACTAGCAATTAGTTGTATTACAAGTGCACTATTAAAAGTGGGTGAAAAATAGTGTGGTAACCCGGGGAGAAAGCACATCTCCTCGGGAACTCCCTTTCCACCCTGAATTATGAGACTGCTGATTCTGGAGGCTGAGGGAGAGCATGTGATGTTTGCATCCTTTGGGTTGTGGGTTGTCTTTACTTTAGTGAACAGATGCCTTATGAGCTCAGCCCATATCCTCCACCTGCCTGCATTCCCTCTGAAATCAGCTTTTCTTCTTTTACTTTACACTTAGGCAGGTGGGACCTACTGCAGAGAACTGGGTCAGAGTGGTCTGGAAGGACTGGTCCTCTTTATAAGGAGATGGGCATTTTCATTTTTGTTGACCCTCAGAGTCCCATTAACTCTCTTGTGTATTTTTGTTGTTGTTAATCCTCACCCAAGGATATTTTTCCATAGAGTGGCTTTTTAGATAGAGTGGACGGGAGGGAGGGAGGGAGAGAGAGAAAAACGTAGATATGAGACACATCGATTGGTTGCCTTCCTCATGACCCTGACAGGCCCCAATCAAACCCAGTCGACCCTGACCAACCCCGATGCACCCCGACCAACCCCAATCAACCCCGACCAGGGCCAACTGGAGCCAACTGGGGCAAACCAGGGCTGACCGGAGCTGAGATCGAACCTGCAACCCAGGTACATGTCTTTGACCGGGAATCAAACCCAAAATCCTTCGGTCCATGAACCAACTCTAACCACTGAGCCAAACCAGCCAGGGCCTCTCTTGTATACTTTTTTTTTCTTTATTGATTTTAGAGAGAGAGGAAGGGAGAGGGAGAGAGAGATAGAAACATTGATAAGAAAGAACATCAATTGGCTGCCTTCTGCATACCCCCTACTGGGGATTTGGCCCACAGCCTAGGCATGTGCCCTGACTGGGAATCAAACCAGCGACCTCTTGGTACGTGGGTTAATGCTCAACCACTGAGCCACATCGACTGGGCTTTTTATTTTTTTATTCCTCACCTGAGGATATTTTTCTATTTACCATTAGATAGAGTGGGAGGGAGGGAAAGAGAGAGACAGAGAGAAACATTGATGTGATAGAGCCATATCGACTGGTTTCCTCCCGCATGACCCGACCAGGGCTGAGGGTGCACCGCACCTGAGGTACCTGCCCTTGACCGGAATCAAACCTACAACTCAGTGGTCTGCGGCTGAGGCTCTAACCGCTGAGCCAAACTGGCCAGGGCTCTTGTGTGCTTTTTAAATGCCTTTCATTTTGTTTTTAATGGAGCATGGAACTATTTGTGTTGAGTGTCTTGAGTCTGCTGAGAGTATTTTTTTTTTCTCTAGAATTTCTCACAGCTTTAAAAATAGTCCTGAGTTGTGTACAGGGTTTGCCTGATATAAAATGACTGTTGTGAGCATGAAGTTCCTCAGGGGCAGGAGTGTGAGGGGCTCTGTGTGAGGGTTGCTTTGAGGGTTGCTTACTGCTGTCTTTAGGGCAGCAGAAGAGGTCAGACACAGTCTCTCATCTCTGTCAAGCAAATGCATAAGCAGTGTTTTTTAAAAGAATGAGGTTTGAGCCCTGGCTGGTTTGGCTCAGCGGTCAGAGTGACGGCCTGCGGACCAGGGAGACCCGGGTTTGGTTCCTGCTAAGGGCACATACCCAGGTTGCAGTTTGTCCCCTGCCCTGGTTGGGATCGTGTGAGTGGCAACCAGTTGATGTGTCTTTCTCTCTCTTCCTCTCTCTCTCCCTCCCGCTCTATCTGAAGATAAATGCAAAAATGTCCTCTGGTGAGACTAAAAATAAATAAATAAAATAATGAGGTTTGAGTTGCCTTTTTCTGACTCTTGCCCAGTTGCCCTTTTCTGGTTCTTGTTCAGACATAGTATGTGAGTAGTTCTCCACACCCCTCCTCACTCCCTCCTTGTTCTCATTTGCCCTATCAGATCAATGAGCTCAGCCAGGTGCCTCCCCCTGTGATGCTGCTTCCAGATGACTTTAAGGCCAGCTCCAAGATTAAGGTCAACAATCACCTTTTCCACAGGTATGTGGGAATTCCCACCCTTCTCACTTTGTAGAAAATAGTAAATAATTTTAAGAGTTAAGATTCAGTGGGTTAAAGGTTTTAGATTTAGAAGGCAACTTATAAGTTGTATTGTCTAACCTCCTTTCCATTGCATACATTCAGTATTGTGCAAAGAAACCATTAAAATTATTTCAGTGCCTGGCTGGTGTGGCTCAGCAGTTGAGCATGACCATGCAACAAGAGGTTGCTGGTTCGATTCCTGGTCAGGGCACATGCCCAGGTTGTGGGCCCAGTCCCCAGTGGAGGGCATGCAGGAGGCGGCCAGTCAGTGTTCTCTCTTATCAATGTTTCTGTCTTTCCCTCTCCTTTCCTGTCTCTCTGAAATCAATAAAGAAAAAAATAAAATAATTTCAGTGTTCCCTACATGTATGTACTAGTTTATCCTTATATGTATGTACTAGTTTATCTCTTCTCTTGCCTAGCAATTCCATAGAGTAAAAACATTTTTTATTTATTTTTTTTCCATTTTTTTGTTCAGATAGAGTGGAGGGAGAGAGACGAAGAGAGAGAGAGAGAGAGAGAGAGAAACATTGACGTGAGAGGGACACATCAAGTGGTTGCCACCCACACGACCCAACCAGGGCTGGGGACAAACTGCAACCGAGGTACATGCCCTTAGCAGGAACCGAGCCCGGGTCTCTCAGGACCGCAGGCCAACACTCTAACCGCTGAGCCAAACCGGCCAGAGCAAAACATTTAGATATCATTACCGTTAGTTTCTGATAGGGACTCCCTGAAAAAACACTCTCTCTAAGCCCTCCTAGTGTCAGACGATGCCATTCTAAAACGTGACACCTGCCCGGCTGGTGTGGCTCAGTAGTTGAGTGTTGACCCATGCACCAAAACGTTGCCGGTTTGATTCCCGGTCAGGGCACATGCCCAGGTTGTGGGCCAAATCCCCATTTGGGGGGCATGCTGGAGGTGGCCGATTGATGTTCTCTCTCATTGATGTTTCTATCTCCCTCTCCGTTCCTCTATCTCTAAAAAAATAAAGAAAAAAAATTGTTATAAAACATGACACCTTTTGCCAATTTTAGGATGTTTCTAACTTGCTTAAGATTTGGGAAATGCTGCTGTTTGGGTAGGTGGTAGAACCTGGTTCTACTTAAGGTACTTGCTAGTCATGTGACTTAAGCAGGTCAACCCTGAGCCACACAGGCTCCCCTTCTATAAAATGGGACTAATATACCTTTAAAGGACCTCACAAGGGTTTTATGAGAATCAAATAAGGCAATATATGGGAAGGTGCTTTATAAACTGTCAAGCCCTATATAAATGTAAGGTAATATTGTTACTTTGTGTTTTTTTTTACCTTGAAAATCCCTATTTCAGGGAAAATCTGCCCAGTCATTTCAAGTTCAAGGAGTATTGTCCCCAGGTCTTCAGGAACCTCCGTGATCGATTCGGCATTGATGACCAGGATTACTTGGTGAGAGTTTATTGTGGTGTGAGGGTAGTCCTTTCACCCTAACTACTGGGGAATCCTTGTGACAGCCATGTTTGGTGAAATGGAGAGTCATGGCAAGAATGATTCTTTTTTTTTTTTTTTGGTTATCCTCACCCGAGGACATTTTTCCCTTTTTTTTTGTTCAGATAGAGTGGGAGGGAGAGAGAGGAAGAGAGAGAGAAACATCAACGTGAAAGGGACACATCGAGTGGCTGCCACCCACATGACCAACCATGGCCAGGGACAAACTGCAACTGAGGTACGCGCCCTTAGTGGGAACCGAACCTGGGTCTCTCTGGACCGCAGGCCGACGCTCTAACCGCTGAGCCAAACTGGCCAGGGCACAAGTATGATTCTTTACCTTTTTGTTATTACAGGCATATAAAAAAATCTGGTGAGAGATATAAATCTTGTCCTTGGAGAAAAAATGTAGATACATTAAAAATTTTGACTCTGGCTGGTGTGGCTCAGTTGGTTGGAGTTTATCCCTGTGCACCAAACGGTCACAGATTCAATTCCCAGTCAGGGCACATAACCCAGGTTGTGGGTTTGATCCCTGGTCAAGGTGTGTGCAGTGGGCATTCAATTGATGTTTCACTCTCACATCGATATGTCTCTCTCTCTCTCTCCCTCTCCCTTCCTCTCTCTCCAAAATCAATAAAAAAGATTTTAAAAAATCACGTCCTCAGGTAAGGATTTAAAAAAAAAAGTTGAAATAAAATTTTTTTTTGCACCACTTTCAGTCCATATATATAGACACCAGATTAAGAATCCCTGCTCAACCTGTTATGCCAGGGTTTTATCTGCTTTCAGACACATTCAGTTGATCACTATCCTATGACTTGTATCTCCATATAAAGGAGAGGAAAAGAGCCTCTGACCTATTCTGTGTCCCTAACAGGTATCACTTACCCGAAGTCCCCCAAGTGAAAGTGAAGGCAGTGATGGTCGCTTCCTTATCTCCTATGATCGGACTCTGGTCATCAAAGAAGTATCCAGTGAGGACATTGCTGACATGCATAGCAATCTCTCCAACTACCACCAGGTCAGGCCTCTCTCCAGCTTTATTCATTCCCTCCTCTCTACTCATAGATTTCAGTTGCCAGAGCACACAGGGAGACTTCCTCCCTTTTCCTTCCTACAACCTATTTTACTCCCCAAAAAGTACTCAACATCATGTTTTTTAAAAACTAGAAATTTCAGAGCAAAGAGCCTCCGTATAGCTATTTGTGTTTGTTTAAATAGAAGAAGTTAGACAGTGTTGCTTCTCATTTGATACTTAAAATCTAAAACCACTGTGCATTAATACATAAAAGACACATGTATAACAAAATATAAACCACAGATTTATAACTAAGTGAAATGTTAGCACCAAGTATACTATCAGGAATAAATGCACTTTGGGGAGAAAGTGTACTGTTGTGATAAATTGGAAGTTAGAAGCCATGATCATGTCCAACCCTAAAATGGATTAGAGAGCTATTCTGTCTGATTAGCTTAACCTGGTGTGTGGAGTTTGTGGAATATTTTCGTGATAAAAACGTTGTCTAACCCCGGCCCAGTGGCTCAGTTGGAGCGTCATCTCCGAAGGGTTGCAGATTTAGTCCTGGGTTGGGGCATGTATGGGAGAAAGCCCATTGATGTTTCTCTCTCACATCAATGTTTCTTTCTCTTCTTTCCTTTCTCTCTAGAAACTAATTAAAAACTATTTTTGGGTGAGGATTAAAATATTTTTTATTATAAAAAAATAATAAAAGAAAGAAAAACAACACTGCCTGAATGTCTTTCTACTGAAGAAAACATCTTACTAAAATCAATGAGTAAGGAATAAATGAAAGAGTCTAAAAGGAATCTTGGTTTATCCAACAAATATTGAATGTCTTTAATTACTAGGCCCTGTGTTAGGCTGTGGAGAAAGAGGTGAATGAATTGGTCATGGCCCTTAAGGATCTCTTAATCTAATGGCAGAGTCCAGTGAGCTAGCATCAGCACACAACAAGATGTGTACAGTAGTAGAGGTAGGTATAGAATGCTCTGGGGGTGCAGAGGATCCCAACTTACTAGAGGAAGGAAATACATTTGGGAGGCTCAAAGAGACTTTTTAGAGGGAGTATCATAGGTATTGATTCTTGAAAGACTCATAGGGACTAACCATTGGGCAGTGTGGAAGAGATCATTCTAGGCAAAGGAAAACAGCACTTATAAAGGCACAGAAGCATGAGAAAGCTTGTTGTTAGGGAACTGCAAGAAATTCAATGTGGCTGGGATATGGTATTGTGGAAAAATAAGCAGAACCCAGATTATGAAGGGTTTTATAAACAACACGAAGAATTTGGACTTTATCCTCAAGGTGGTTTGCAGTGGAGGTGATATGTCTGTTATTTAGAAATATCCATGTGACAGCATTTTAGAGAAATGGATTGGAGGGAGGACTATTGGGAGTGGTGATACCAGTTAGGATGTAATTATAATTGTCTAGGTGAGAAATGACAAGGGCCTGGAGGCACAATGGCAATGGAGATGGAAAGGAAGACTTAGTGTAGAATTGTGGGAATTAAGGCAAAAGCGCCTCTAAATTCTCAGTTGGGGATGATAGGTAGCCCTTCACCAACAGTTGGGAAGCAGAAAAAAGAAACAGGTTTTTGGAGGAAGACAGTTCTGATTTTAAACATGTTGAGTTTGGGGTTTCTGCAGTTCACTCAGATACAATGTCCATTAGTGATTGGGAAATGGCGTTCAGGAAAGAGGATTAGAATAGAACTCTAGATTTGAGAGTTATAGGTGAAGAGGTGGTAATAAAAGCCATGAATATACATAAAATTATTGAAGGGAAGTGTGGAGTGAAATGAAAAAATGGTTGAGGACAGAACCTTAAGGAGCAACTACAGAAAAGATCCTTTAAAGAAGACAGAGTCAACGGACACTTTACATTATTTATGTTCTACTTTGTTCCATACAGGATTTGAGGACAGAGAGGAGGGGAATCAGAAGAGTGGTCTAATGGTAGCTGGGATTGAGGAGAGTTTTAAGGAGAGACTGGTCAGTAGTATCAAGTGCCATTCAGTTGATACATGACAGTGGCTAGATACTCATTGGATTTGGCAAGTGAAGGATTTAGTGGAGGGAGGAGTAGAAAGATTTCAGAGGAGAGCCCTGGCCAGTTTGGCTCACTGGTTAGAGCGTCAGCCTGCGGTCCAGAGAGACCCGGTTCGGTTCCCGCTAAGGGCACGTACCTCAGTTGCAGTTTGTCCCCGCCCTGGTTGAGGTCGTGTGGGAGGCAGCCACTCGATGTGTCCCTTTCACGTTGATGTTTTTCTCTCTCTCTCTCTTCCTCTTCTCTCCCTCCCACTCTACCTGAACAAAAATGGAAAAATGTCCTTGGGCGAGAATAAAAAAAAAAAAAGATTTCGGAGGAGAAATGAGGGTATATATCTGATTTAACTAGTTTAAGATGTGATTGAGGCATAGGAAGTAGATTGATTGCTGACTACTTTTCTGAGAGGTGGCTGTGAAGAGAAGTAGGTAGCAATACTGGGGTGGGAGGGTGGGGAGAGATAGTAGCATTGAAAGAGGAAAGGAATGCCATTTCTTTAAAAATTGATTTTAGAGAGAGAGGAAGGGATGGGTGGAGAGAGAGAGAAATATTAGTTGCTTCCCGTACATGCCCCGACAAAGGATTGAACACACAACCCAGGTATGTGCCCTGACCAGGAATTGAACCTGTGACCCTTTGGTGCATGGGACAATGCTCTAACTAACTGAGCCACATTGGCCAGGGTGAAAGAGGAATAATTTTTTAAAAAAATATATTTAGTTTTTATTTATTTTTAATCCTCACCCAAGGATATTTTTACATTTATCTTCAGACAGAATGAGAGGGAAAGAGAGAGAGAGAGAAACATTGATGTGAGAGAGACACACCGATTGGTCACCACCTGCATGACCCCAACTGGGGCGGGGGGAAAAACCGCAACTGAGGTACATGCCCTTGGCTGGAATTGAACCCGGGACTCCTTGGTCCGCAGGCTGACACTCCAACCGCTGAGCCAAACCGGCCAGGGCAAAAGAGGAATAATTTTTAAAGAATCCTAATTATAGGCCATCATGCCAGTATTTTTACTACGGGAATCTAGCCCACCAAGAAACATTGATCTAGATAAAATCAATTCATTGATAAACAGATGTAATTTATAATCCTGTGACCATTTGCATATAAAAAGGGTCCAAAATAAGGATAATAACACCTACACCTACATTCTCCATCTGAAAGAATGATAAATATGAAATGAGAGGAGGTACTTTAAAATTGAGGCATTGTGCAAATGATTAATCAGAGGAGATGAGGATTCAGGAACTGCAGATAACCAGGGGCATCTTTAGAAATTTCTAGCTCCCACCACTTTTCACCTTCTTGTAACCTCTCTACTTGAAGTTTTCTGCTCATTCTGGAATGATGGTGTTTGAATGTCCATCCCTAGGCTCTCTGTATATCTGCTGCTCAGCCTCTGCCCATTCCTTCCTCTCTTCCACCCCAGTACATTGTGAAGTGCCATGGCAGCACACTGCTGCCCCAGTTCCTGGGGATGTACCGAGTTAGCGTGGACAATGAAGACAGCTACATGCTTGTGATGCGCAACATGTTTAGCCACCGTCTTCCTGTGCACAGGAAGTATGACCTCAAGGTACGGAGAGGATAGCTAGGGGGAGGGGCAGGCTCCTGATGGCTGAGAGTGGAGAAGGGCCTGGGAGGGCACTGGATGATTCATTTTATTTATTTATTTTATTTTATTTTTTTTTATCCTCGCCCGAGGACATTTTTCCATTTTTTGTTCAGATAGAGTGGGAGGGAAAGAGAGGGAGAGAGAGAGAAACATCAACATGAAAGGGACACATTGAGTGGTTGCCACCCACATGACCCATCCAGGGCTGGGGACAAACTGCGCCCTTAACGGGAACTGAACCCGAGTCTCTGGACCGCCCTTAGCGGGAACCGAACCCGGGTCTCTGAACCGCCCTTAGCGGGAACCGAACCCAGGTCTCTGGACCGCAGGCCGACGCTCTAACCGCTGAGCCAAACCAGCCAGGGCTGGATGATTCATTTTAAAGGAAACAAGGCTATGGGTTTGAGTACTCATTTTATGAGCTGGATCTTGACTATTCTTTTAGCCACTTCTGCTGACTTGGTCTTTGGGTCTCTCCACAGGGCTCCCTGGTGTCCCGAGAAGCCAGCGATAAGGAAAAGGTGATACTAATTTTAGGGTGAGGGATGGGGGAGGGCAGATGAAAGGGATCTTAGAATAAAGAGGCAGGGATCACCAGCTATTTATTCTTATTAAACGCCTGACAAGAAGAGAGATGTAAACTTGTTCCAATCCAGGGATTATGTGGAAGGGGCAGACGGAACAGCTGCTTTGTTACGGGTTATTTAATGTGGAAAGTTTGGGGATGGGTGAGGATGTTGGACTTGAAGAGAAAAATGCTTAACCTCCACCTCCCACTTTGGGTTCTCCTATTCAAGTAGCTAGTTCTGCTTCATAAGAAAGAAACATCATTGGCCCTGGCCGGTTTGGCTCAACGGTTAGAGCGTTGGCCTGTGGTCCCGAGAAACAAACATCATTGGAGGGCCTTAATAAAAACCATAAGGAGAAAGTGGTGGGATGTGATTTGGGGTACAGCTGCAGTGACTGAGGCTGGAGAAAACATGAGGTGAGAACAGACTCTGGGTCAGCATCCCAGTGTACAGTCAAATGAGAGAAGTCTGCAAGATCTTTCTCCCTTAGAGACCACTGAGTTAGAGAGAGAGCCCTGGATAGAGCAGGGTTCTTTAAGATCTTTGGGGAAGGGATATATTCCCAAGATGTTCCTTTACCTATTCTCAGGTTAAGGAATTACCCACCCTTAAGGATATGGACTTTCTCAACAAGAACCAGAAAGTTTATATTGGTGAAGAGGAGAAGAAAATATTTCTAGAGAAGCTAAAGAGAGACGTGGAGGTGATGATTGGGGTGCTCTGGGAAATGGCTTTGTTTCCTTTTTTGCTCCCCTCAGGGTAGTTGCCTCTCCATTCACAATATGAAAGAACTCTTTCCTTTCCCTTAATTTGGGTTCTCTGCGTTTTAGGGAGTTGGGTATGAGACATGAGAACCCCCTAGAGGTGACCCATGGAAGGGGTGGCTGGAATGAGCTAAAAGGGTGATCTTAAACACCAGGACATTTAGGTACTAAAGGGAAATGGTATACTACCAACCCTCAATTTTTATACTTCCTTTCCCCAGGAGGGCCCCAGAAATTCAGGGGTGGCAGGAAATATAAGGGTGGTACCTGGGAGTGGGGAGGGAGATCTGGGGTATCTGATTTGTCATTGGGTCTCAGTTCCTAGTGCAGCTGAAGATCATGGACTACAGCCTTCTACTGGGCATACACGACATAGTTCGTGGCTCTGAACCAGAGGAGGAGGGGCCTGTGCGGGAGGAGGAGTCAGAGGGGGATGGGGACTGTGGCCTGACTGGACCTCCTTCTCTGGTGGGCTCCTACGGCACCTCCCCTGAGGGTATTGGTGGCTACATCCATTCTCATCGGCCCCTGGGCCCTGGAGAGTTTGAATCCTTCATTGATGTCTACGCCATCCGGAGTGCTGAGGGTAAGAGAGATCCTGGAAATTTTAGTGGGGAGGGTAGTCCTTGTGGGACAGACACCAGGGTGCTGGGCAGAGAGGCTGGTTAGCTTTTCAAAACAGATCTGACTGGTTCCTGGAGAGAGGGAATTGGGACTATACTTGCTCTTCATTGCTGGTTACTCTTTCCAGGGGCCCCCCAGAAGGAGGTGTATTTCATGGGCCTCATTGATATCCTGACACAGTATGATGCCAAGAAGAAAGCAGCTCATGCAGCCAAAACTGTCAAGCATGGGGTGAGGGTTCCCCAACGTCTTCCCTTTCCTGTCTTGACTATTCCTTGGGAAGAGAGAGCCTCTTGTGCCGGAGCAATGGGGTGGCAAAATGATGGTGTTGAGTATGGAAATGGTGGAGAGTGGAATGGAGGGTGGGGAATGGGGAAGAGTGGTGAGATGCCTGACACCATGTTCCATACCTCTTCTTGCAGGCTGGGGCAGAGATCTCTACTGTCCATCCTGAACAGTATGCTAAGCGATTCCTGGATTTTATTACCAACATCTTTGCCTAAGAGACTTGGTGGTGACTGCTTTTTTATGTTCAAGGTGGAGTTCTAAGAAGCTAGAGGGAATTATGGGTATTCTGGTCACTACTTCTTTTCCTCTTTGCTAAATTCAGGCTATAGGCTCCTCCCATCCAAATAACTCCATCTTATTGACTAGGCTCTTCCTGGCCCTCAGAAATGCATAATCTTTTCTCCCCTTTGCCCAATTTTCTTCCCTCTGTCCCTTCCCTCAACATGTCTGCTTGCTTCATTAGAGTATTACTATTGATTCTCTCCCAAGTGCCTTGATTTTTATAAAATGTTCTATTGTTTCTATAATATAGGAGGAGCTGGGGGGAGGGAGTTATTTGCCGTCTTCAGTACCTGACTGGACAGATGGACTTGGCTCAAGAAACTACTATGGATGCACTTTGCTCTGTGGGATGAACTAAGCATGTCTGAATTTTGCTGATAACTTTATAGAACTCACTGTGGCATACTTCCTTCCAGCTAGGGCCCAGGATGGAAGACTTTCAAGATACTACAGATGTGGGTGCAGGCATGCACACAAGATGGATTATGGCTAATCTTACACATAGAGGTGGGGTGGAGAATGGTCAGCAGGCTGGCAACTCAAGGAGGTGGGAATTTAGAGGATCCTTGTGATTATGCAGGGAACTGGAGAAAGTGTCTGCCAAGGATTGACCATTCTCTTCAATCTCTTCCCTCACCCACTTTCACCCTCACTTCTGTACTACTGGGCACAGGAGCCCAGAGATGGATGGCCAGAGTGTTCAAGCTTGAGTGAAGGTGTTTGACTATTGCTGCTCTTCTCCAGGACCTCACACCCCTTCTGGCTCTGGAACCCTTCAGTGGGGGTGTGGCCAGTTCTGGAGGCTGGGATGATAGGCCAGGGGTATAAGGTGCTGTCTTCCTGGCCCTCAGAAATGCATAATCTTTTCTCCCCTTTGTCCAATTTTCATTCCCCCTGTTAAATTTCCTTTCTTCATGTCTAGCCATCCCTGAGGTTTTATTCCCAGGAGAAGGGAATATCTCTACCTGGGTCAACCCTGGTCATTTCAAGAGAATAGAGGTCTCTACTCCCTGGAGGTGTGTGCCTGCATACTTCCTTCCACCACTCCTTCTCAAGCCCTTTTTCCAGTTTGATTTGTCATTCTGTTCTCTTCTGTCCCGTTTTATTGCTGCTGTATCTCCCAGGAGACAGATGGCCTTCTTTGTCATCTTCACTCTCCACCCCCAGAGAGGAGTCAGAGCCATAACTCAATCACCCAGCCCCCTCCAAAGATAGCTGAGTTGATGCTTGATATTCTCAGAATGTAGGGGACCCTAATGAGCCCAGATAGTGCCCTCCCGACCCTCCAATGCCTTTGGGACAAAGGCAGCCATTCTTCCTGTTATCCTGCATACCCCTTGAGATTCTACTTTTTTTTTTGGTATGTGCCCCTTGTGAGAACCGAACCCAGGACTCTGGTCCGCAGGCCAATGCTCCAGCCGCTGAGCCAAACCGGCCAGGGTGAGATTATACATTTTTAAAAAATAAAAGATGGACATCAGAAACTGGCCTGAGGTGATGCAGATTCTTTTTCTGTATCTGGCTGGACTGATCTGACTCACAAGAAGTCACAAGGTCATAAAGAAGAATTCCTGCCCTGGCTCGTGTGGCTCAGTTTGGTTGGAGCATCGTCCTGTACACCAAAAGGTTGTGGATTTGATTCCCAGTCAAGGCACATACCCAGGTTGTGGATTCAATCCCCAGTCGGGGCGCATATGGGAGGCAACTGATGGATGTTTCTCTCTCAAATTGACGTTTCTCTCTCCCTCAAATAAAAAACAAAAGTTAAATATATATATATAATATATATGAAATTTCCTTTTTCCCCTTCATTTTGGGATCCAAAAGAAGTAACAAGAGGAGTACCAGTTATGATACCTTCCTGTCCAGAGCCTGATGGATCTTTTTCATTTCAACCATCTACCTTTCCCTTGTTGAATGCAATAAAACTCCATGACACCAGCAACTGTTGTTCTTTAGAAATAGGTTTTCATACCATGTGGCTGATGTATTATGAGCAGTATGGTCTTCATTTGTTGCTTCTGGTTTTCATCTTTTTTGTTTTATTAACTAATACAAAAGAACTTATGTATTTACTCCCATTGCTGTCACTATGTAGAAATTAAATTATTGAATCCAAATCTCTTCACAGAAATGCCTCTTTTTTCCTCCCCCCCCCTTTTTTTCTGAAGAAGCCTGCGCTTAGAGGTGCAGAGACCAGATGAAGAATTCTGATCTTTTTTTTTTTTTATCCTCACCCGAGGACATTTTTGCATTTTTCTTCAGATAGAGCGGGAAGGAGAGAGAGAAACATTGATGTGAGAGACATCGACTGGCTGCCACCCACACAACCCCAACCGGGGCTGGGGACAAACTGCGACCGAGGTACGTGCCCTTAGCGGGAACCGAACCTAGGACTCTCTGGTCCGTGGGCCGATGCTCCAATTGCTGAGCCAAACCAGCCAGGGCGAATTCTGATCTTTTAGATGTTGGGCCCCTAACTAAGGATGTGGGTTTCTAGATAGATGGCTGTGAACTTAAAAGGTTGTGAGGATTGTGGCCCTGGCTGGGTAGCTCAGTTGTTTAGAGCGTTGTCCTGATACACACCAAGGTTGCAGGTTCAATCCAGGTCAGGGCACATGCAAGAATCAACCAATGAATGCATAAATAAGTGGAACAACTAATCGATGTTTCTCTTCCTCTCTCTAAAAATCAATCAAAAATTTTTTTTAAAAGTTGTGAAGACTGGCCCAGCCGGTGTGGCTCAGTGGTTGAGCGCTGACTCATGCACCAAGAGGTCGCCAGTTCAATTCCTGGCCAGGGCACATGCCCAGGTTGTGGGCCTGATCCCCAGTGGGGGGCATGCAGGAGGCAACCAATCGATGTTCTCTCTCATCGATGTTTCTATCTCTACCTCTCCCTTCCTCTCTCTCTCAAATCAATAAAGAAAAAAAAAAGTTAAGAAGACTGTGCATGGGATGGAAACTTATTCTCCAACTTTGTGAAAGTTAAACTATAGGGAGGCTAGGGAGAACTAAGATGTGACCCAACACTCCCTGGGCTTGGTCACACTCCCATCTCTGTCAAGGTGTCTCAGCCCACTAGCTAAAAGAAGGAATTCAGTTTTCCCCTAGGCTTCCTGGGAAAGATGTCCTTTGCCTGGAGGTCAGAAATAGTACAGCAGGGTCCTGGGAAAGTAAGGACGAAAGTGACCAATCCTCCAGCCCAGAAGGGGAGTGAAGAAGGGATGGGTGGACAGAGGTTGTTGCCAGTCTGGGAGATCCGATATGCTTGGCTGAGGAGGTCTTTGGGTGGTGGAAAAACCTGGCTTGATGTGGCCCCAGGGAAGTGAGTTGGACTGGGAATGGAGATTACTCTGATGTGGGAAGCAAACTGAGCAGAACTTTTTTTCTTTGAGAGTTTTTAACTATTTGAACCATATACTTGACGCCACCCCCACCCCAATGCATTTTTAAAAAACATATTCGCTTCTCATTCTGCACCAGCCTCAGTAACTGTTTGTGGGAAGAAAACAATCAGAGGCACCAATACCCATCTGGGAGCGGGTTGGAATGGGGGATCACAGAAGGTAATCTAGAAAAAGGCAAGAGATGAGGGAGGTGACTGAAATAGTTTAGTCCTGGGATTTGTTTATATTTTAGATCCAATGCTTTGCTTTTCACTATGACTCTTCTTCCTACCCCACACAATCCCTCAGCGGCCCTTCTAGCACAGGGACCACAACAATCTGCCCGGTCTTCCCCGTCTGCCCAGCCCGCCCTGCTCGCCCACCGGCCACCAGCAGCTCCCAGAAGCTGCCACGCAGCTGGCTGGCAGGAGGAGGAAGCGGGCTCCGGGAGTGGGTCTCTACCCTCGGGATTTAACCTCCTACCCCAGTTCCACGACGCCACTCCCTCCAAAGACAGGGACGGAGCCTCCATTTTCGTTCTGGGGGCGGAGGGCAGGGGCCCAGAATAGAAGGGGTCAAAGGAAGCGGTGATTGTCGCCTGGGAGGGGCGAGGGGTGCCGTCCTCTTTCCCTTTTCCTCACTTTGCACCCCCTTCACACCCCCCTCCACCTTCTGGGGTCTCCCCCCTCCTTGTTGCTAAGGCCCAGGCCGTCATCCCAGCAACAGCCTCAGTCATGTGACCGGCAATGGCGGCGCTGACGAGAGGTAGGTGAGCCCGGCGCCCCCCACACCCACCGCGAGCCCCCCGGGCCCGCTCGCACCCCCCACGCGTTCTCCTGCTGCCCCTGCGCCCCCTCCCCCCGCCTCCTTCCCCAGCGCACTGCGCCTGGGGCCCTCTTCACGCCCTAAGGATCCTCTTTCTGTCATCCTCCAGCCTTGGCCTCCATTTGGGGGTTCTGGGGACCGCGATCGGGCAGACAAGCACCCACACCCAGTGGCGGGGCTCCGGGGCCTCCGCGAGAGGGGAACGTGGGGAGTTGGTTCTGGGTCGTGTCTTGCAGGATGTCGTTGGGGGAGGTGTGGAGCAGCCTCAGTGGATGCCCCCAGGGACCCTTGCCCTCCCCGGCTGCCCCTGCCTCCAGTCCCTGTCTGGAGGGAGGTACTGGCCCAGTGTCGGCCTAGGTTGCCCCAGAGGAATCAGAGACCCAGCTTAAACTGTGGCCCCGCCTCCCTTTTCTGTGCCAGCAGGACTTAGAGCTAAGAACACCCAAGTCCTGGGTTCCCTCTGATGGGGGGGGGGGTCCACCTTGATAAAGCTAAGGCTCTAGGGTTCCAGTTTCACTTTCTGAATCTTGAAATGCATCTGGCGTTGAGGGGACTATGATGGAGGAACAAATGGAGAGCCGCTCCCCTTGGGATCAGTCAAGGAACTGAGGTCACACTAGTGGCCCCTCATTCTATTTGAGCTGCATTTGGAGGTGTTGTAGGGACAGCTCTGTAGCTGAGCATGGCAAGACTCGGGAACCAACAGACTCCACCAGTGGAGCCCCTTCCTGAGCCCCAACCCTCCCTAAATACAGATTAGTTGCTGACAGGCTTGCACTTGGTGTGCTGGGTTTAAAAGGTGACAGTGACAACTTCGTTTATTGCAGGGGCTGCTGCCACTTAGCTTGCCTTTCAAACAGACTTCAGTAGAAGAAACTATTGGCTCTCAAGGAAGGCTCCCCAGCAATAGGGGATGAATTATTTGGGAATGTGGAGCAGGGCAAGGAGTTGGGGAACATAGAAAATATTCTTGTCCATGTGATCTGCGGAAGGTGGCAAGGAAGACCGCCATCTGTGTGGACTTTTCCCTTCCCGATTTCTCTTATCTGTTCCTTAGGCTTTCTTGAGAGCCTCAGAGCTGGGGAAGAAAAAAGGAAAGTTAGCATGTTGAAATTTCTTCTTTAACAACTTGGAGAGAGGCTGGGGATGGAATTCTGCAGGAGATGAGAGAGGAAAAGGAAGAGGAGTTTTTCTTTTGTTTCTGGGTTGACTGGGGAAGATGGTAATATTTGTCATCATAAACTTTTACCCTTCCCCTTCCCCCTCAGTCCTGATCAGCTGAATGTGGAAATAGAGGGATTTCTGCTGCTATCATTGTCCATGGGCTTTCAAGGTATCTGCCTCCCAAGGGAACCTCAACTTTTACCTTTAAATTGGTTTCCTCCAATCCATGTTCCAAGTAATCCCATTTCCAGTAATTTACATCCAGGTTCCCATCTCTGTTATGTGGGTTGCTGGGTTGGGGCATGTGGGAATGGGGCAAGGGCATTCTCACTTTCCCTCCTTTTCCTGTCCACCCACCAGGTCACACCACCTACAAGTAGGGAGCAGGGACACAGAGAGAGCCTGCATGCCATTTCTAAGCTCTTCAGGATCAAAGTGAGCAAAATGAGAGTGAAAAACTCTCCCTCTCTTTAACAGAAGTCAGTTTTCACTCAGAGGGGGAAGGGGCAGATTTTTTCTGTGATCTTGGGAGGAATGGAAGGAGAACCAAGACTGATGCTTGGTTTAGATCAGAATAATAATATTATAGAACCTTTCTTGTTCTTCAGTGGGTGCTAGACTTTGAAAGAGAAGAGGGAATAGAAAATGAACTTGGGGAAGGAGTTAGTTGGGTGTTGGACTTTGAGAGAGCAGAGATAATACAAGGTTGGAAAGGAAACTGAAGTAGGCACTGATGTTTGTCACTTGGGGACCCCCCACCCTGAGTCCCTTTCACCCTGGGGGCAGTGTCGTTCGTCCTGTCCAGAATGGCAGCCTGTGGAGGCACCTGCAAGACCAAAGTGACTGTCTCCAAGCCTGTGTGGGACTTCTTGAGCAAAGAGACCCCAGCCCGGCTGGCCCGGCTTCGGGAGGAGCATCGTGTGTCCATCCTCATAGATGGCGAGACTTCTGACATCTATGTTCTCCAGCTTTCCCCACAGGGCCCTCCCCCAGCCCCTCCCAATGGGCTCTACCTGGCCCGGAAGGCTCTTAAGGGGCTGCTAAAAGAGGCAGAGAAAGAGCTGAAGAAAGCTCAGAGGCAGGGGGAGCTTATGGGCTGCCTGGCTTTGGGGGTTGGGGGGGAACACCCTGAGCTGCACCGCCCAGGCCCACCCCCTCTCAGAGCAGCCCCACTCCTGCCCCCAGGAGCACGGGGGCTTCCCCCACCTCCTCCTCCCCTCCCCCCTCCTCCTCCTCCCCGCCTTCGAGAGGAGACAGAAGAGCAGGAGAGTACCTGCCCCATCTGTCTGGGGGAGATCCAGAATGCCAAGACATTGGAGAAGTGTCGGCACTCATTCTGTGAAGGCTGCATCACCCGGGCCCTGCAGGTGAAAAAGGCCTGCCCCATGTGTGGCCGTTTCTATGGGCAGCTGGTAGGCAACCAGCCCCAGAATGGGCGGATGCTGGTCTCCAAGGACGCCACACTCCTACTGCCCAGTTATGAGAAGTACGGCACCATCGTCATCCAGTATGTCTTCCCGCCCGGTGTCCAGGGGGTAAGGAGACTACTGCCTGTCCTTACCTTTTGTTTCCCTCCCTCCCCCAGCTCCTTCTCTGATCTAGGAAATCTGGGGGAGGATGAGTGTGTTTTTTAGTTGTGATACAGTTTTGCTCTTTCCACTGTATGCCTTTTGCTGTATGCCTTCCCACTCAATGCCCTGGAGCTAGGAGGTCTCCTTAAGGCCCAGCTTTTCCACTCCCACAACCTCAAGGTACACATGAAAATCATGTATCAGAGAAAGGAATGAAATACTGTTTACAGTTCTGTGGAGGTGGTGGCTAAAGTACAGGAAGGGATCTAACCTTTCTAACAAAGCTGAGAGTGTTACTCCATTCCAGATTTATAAGAGAGGAAAACCTTGATGACAGTGGAAGGTTAAACAGGAGTGGTCAAAGCCTACAGGTGTCCTCCTGCTTGATAAAGAGTAATTTCCAGTTCTGCTTTGCAGAGGAATGAGGACACTCGGAAGAAGAGTAATAGGAAAATGAAACAGGTTAGACAGTGGAAGAAGCATTGGGAGTGTTTTCAGGTAGAGAAGGGAAGGCTGAAAGATAAATTAGCCTGCCTTCACATTTCTGCTGAGTTATCTGGAGAGTAAGGACCAGCTATCCTCCATCATTTCTGAGACTTCATTTATTGCTGAATTGAGACTTGAAGGATTGAGACCAGGAGAAAGAGCCTCTTAACAATAAGGACTTTGTCCAGAAACAGGCTTCTGCTGCCCAGACCTTAGAGTCTCTCCTTGCCTGAAAGGCTGTCAGCCTGTCGCTGCCCTGTCAGCATTAGCTGGGTGTGCACAGAGAAGGCTAGCCAGGATGACCCTCCATTGGCATCGTGGCCTTAAGATGCCCAGCTACTCACTGCCCACTTTGCTTTCTCCTCTTCCCAGGCTGAGCACCCAAACCCAGGAGTTCGGTATCCTGGCACCACACGGGTGGCCTACCTCCCGGATTGCCCTGAGGGCAACAAGGTGCTGACCCTGTTCCGAAAGGCGTTTGACCAGCGTCTCACCTTCACTATTGGCACGTCCATGACCACAGGGAGACCAAATGTCATCACCTGGAACGACATCCACCACAAGACCAGCTGCACAGGGGGACCCCAGCTGTGGGACACTTCTTCATTTCCCTTTACTTGGCTCCTCCCCTTCTGTCCACTTCCACTGAGAGAACATCAGTTCCCTCTCTCTGGGAGCCTCCTAACTGGAGGAAACAAGACCCCAAAATATTAACCATCTCTTCTATCCCAGTTTCTCCTACATGAAACCTGGTACTAATGTGCCCAGCTTAACTTATACAAAAATGAGCAGAATTGGGCTAAATTATCTTGGGTTTTGGATTACATTAGGGGAGGGAGGAGGGGCCACAATGGGGCACCCAGAAAGAGTATGAGCACGGGGTTAAATAAGTAAGGTCGAACAGCTAACCCTGACCCTCCTTCCTCTTTGCTTTCAGGTTTGGGTACCCGGACCCCACTTACCTGACCCGGGTGCAAGAAGAGCTGAGAGCCAAGGGTATCACAGATGATTGAAGGACATCCCCTTTGCGAAGGCCCCTGCCTTTGTCCTCTACTAGGACCCAGCAGAAGCCTCTGTTCTCCTTTCTCCCTCTGCCCCTCCACCCCCATACAACACAGTAGGGGACCTGCCTGACTGGGGAAGGAGTTCAGAGAGGGAGGGGGCAATTCCTTTCTCTGTCCCCCATAGGCCAAGTGCTTCAGTGCAGTGTGAGCTGCTTCCTTCTGGCAGAGGCTGTTTCTCAGGCTCTGCTACCCTCCTCTGGTGTACATACTCCCAGTCTTCCTGCCCCCTCCATTGCCCTTGGCTTCGTCTGGTATGTGCAGTGCTCCAGTGACTAAGCTGAGAAAGGACCTGGGTGGGGAGGAGAGGGGTCTTGAATCCCCACTCCTGTCCCATACTGTCCCACCGCTGAACTCTGGTGCAGGGGAGAGGGAATCTAGCTGGTATGAGCACCCCATGGAGCCGGCCCTGTTGGTTCTTCAGAACCAATTCCCCATCTACCTTAACCTTGTCCTTTCCTGTGTCTCTGTGTCTGTTAGTCTGTCTTTCTCCTGCTCTTCTCTGCCCCCTATAAGGAGCCTCCGTACCCTGTTCTGGAACCGCTGCCAAACTGTAGCTTTTAATTTAATAAAAATAAAGTAAAATATGCAACTCTATGCCACACCCATTCTGTTCTGTGGACCCGTGGGGGTGGGGTGGGGAGCGGGACCTGCTAAGAAGGAGAAGGGGGTGATGATCAGGAAATCCCTGTGGGCCTCTCCAGTCTCTCTGCCTGCACAGGGCCTAGGGAGACGGCATGTACTTAGTGCGATCCATAATAACACTGGGTAGCCCCGGGTCACGCTTCCACGGTGGAATAGGGATTAAGAGGGGTTTGTTGATGAACTATGGTTGTTGGAAAGAACAACCCTACCCCTTTTGAAAAGTTTGGCTGGGGTGGGAGTAGGGGCGGAGCCGGGCAGGGGGGCGGATTCGTCAGCAGCAACTCCCCGGACGCACGCAGGCCTCAGAGCCCCCCAGCTTCCGTGCCCCTCGGCCCTGAAACTTGGAGCTGGGTAGGGGTCCAGCATGAAGCCCCCGGACCGCCCCGCCCCTGGCCGCACTGACCGGATACTGGGGGTTATGGGGGGCATGCTGCGCGCATGCGCCCTACCCGGGCAGGAGGGGGTAAGGAAGCGCGAATATGGTGGGGTTCGGCGGTCTTTAGGGGGGTCAGGAGGGCTGCACCCCATAACTCAATTTACCCACAAAAAGAATTTTGGGGGGCATCCGCAAGAACCCAAGAATTCCATTAAGAGGGCCATAGCCATGTTACGGGTAAACCGTTCCCTCCACTCCAGCCTTGGCGACCCTTTTATAACAATGCAGATTTTGACAGCAGGGAGAAAGGGTAGCGGAAGGTTAAGGCTGGGCGTGAAGGGCTGGTTCCTTACCATCACTCTATCCCAGCAGCCCCCGAAGAGAAGCCCCCTAGGGCCGGAGGGGACTGAGCCAGACTCTGCCTGTACGGAGGGAGGTCAGAGAGGGGAGCGCGAACAGGAGGTCTCTGCTTGGGCTCCACTGCCCGGTAAGAAGCTGGAGGTGGGGTGGGGCAGTTTGCCACCCTGAGCAAAAGTGGCGAATTAAAAAAACAAAAATGCTGTTCTTATTAGCATATAGGTTCGCATCTAATTTGCATGAGCCCTATTTACTCGCTGAGAACTTCACGCTTCTTCTCGCCCTCTAGTATGCTGTGTGTCCCCCACTCAGCCGGCCCCAAGCCCCCGCAGGCGAAGTGTCCCCGCGCCCCACCCCTGGCCCCTCGCCAGCCCAGGCTCCAGGACTTCGCCTTAATTGGTGATTAGCTTCGGCTGGAGTCCCGGGGCCAGGAGGAAAGAAGGGTCCGGCGAGAGGGAGGCACCTGGGATGTGTTCCCCACAAAGAGCTCCCGATTCATGCACCCCTACTGGGGGGCCTTGTCCACCCCTGCGCCGCTAGGGACAGTCCCAACTCTCAGGACATCTTCGCACAGACCAAGGCCGTATTCACCCGGCCCTTCACCGCAGAGACCAAGGGCGACCCGGGCAGACCCTGCCACCGGGCTTTACCCCCACCCCAGCGCTCCACAGTCAGATGCAGGAAGGAGGGGAAACCCGGGGCTGGGGAGCCCAGGATGCGGAGGAGGGGCAGAAGCGCTGGGGACGTGGAGTGGGAACGTGGTGATGCCTGGGGGAGGGGGGATTGGGGCGGGAACCCGGCACTGGCTAAAGGGGGAATGGGAGGGAGAAGGCGGAGCTGGGCCGCAGAGGCCCCTCCCTGCGGCGGCACCGCGGCTGGGCCTGTTATTCGGCTCTCCTCTCGGCCGGGACCCGCGCAGCGCCAGTGACTCCGGGAGTCGGCCCCCGCTTTCTCCCCTGCTCGGGCCTAGAACCAACCCCAACCCGAGAGGCCGGAGACAGAGCTGAAGCGGCTGCCGCATCCCGGCTCAGCCTCCCCAATCATCCCTCCCCTCCCCGCTGGACATCTGGACCCTGGGCCCCGCACCGACAGGGTTCCGGAAACCCTCCCTGCCCAGCTCCGCGGTTCGGCCTCGCGCCACCCTCACTGCGGAGCCCCCAGCCCTCCTGCAGACTAGACTTCCGCTTACCCCTGGACGCCCCCTCCCCGTTCCCTCCCTCCCCCCCTCCCCCAGCCTGGAGCGGGGGTAGGAGGGGGGGGTGTGCGCCCTGCGCCGTCCCGGCCCCGCCCCGCCCCCCCGTGATTCCCCCTGCATGGCCCGCCCGGGTGGGGGGAACGGGGGGGCCCGGGCGCCATGCGGGGGGGACACAAGGGGGGTCGTTGTGCCTGTCCCCATGTGATCCGAAAAGTGCTGGCAAAATGCGGCTGCTGCATCGCCCGGGGGGGACGTGGTGAGTGTGAGGTCTCCAGGGCTCAGTGTTGAATGGAGGGTGGGCTGAGAATTCAGGAATTGTTTGCCTTGGCCCTAGGGGATTTAGAAACTGGAGACTGTACCAGTATTTTCCAGGAAATACTCAATAGATGATCTCTAAGATCCCTTCTGCCTCCAAATTTCTAACTAGTTAAGGAAATTGGGAAGGGACAGGGCTTTCCTGTAGTCAGCTGGGTATGAGAAAAACCCATCCACAATCACCTTAGGCCTAGAACAGCATCTTTCCTCAAACCCTTTTGCTGAGAATCTGCTTCAGCTCTGAAGAGGGACAGGGGGATGGAGGAATGAGGAGTGAGGGGATCTACCAGGGGCTTTCTTAAAAATTACAGCTCCTCTCTCCCTGAGCCCAGGCCCAAGATAACCCAGATAAGCCTTGCTAACTTGACCCCTCTATTGGGTTTGTGCATTTGGGGACGGTGGGCTGCAGAAATCTTTTTTCTTATAGTGATTACTGAAATTGGTGGAGGAGGGGTCTGGGGGTGGCCGAAGGGCTCTTCGCTCTTCATATCCCCCTTCTCAGAGAATGGTCTGTACCCATAGGAGGGTTGTAGGAGAGCAGATGGCCACCCCCAGCTTTCAGTGTCTGCCCAGATGGCTGCCCCTACCCCCATATCTGTTCTGTTCCATGCTCAGGATATGGAGGAATCTGCAAGTGCTACTGTGGGGTTCCAGGCCTGGGGAGCCAAGCATTTACTGTCCTCCCAAGGGTGCCCTGGTGAAAATTTCTATCCTGGCCAACTCAAATGAGGATGGCAAGAGAGTGAGCCCTGGGGAAGAGGGGCTAAGCATCATAGAGAGGAGACTGTGACAGCTTCCTAGGGATCTTGAGCCAGGAGCTGGAGCAATATCTATCACCATTTTTCTTCCACCTCACCCCATTAGAATCCTATTCCATTGCTGGCAGTGAGGGGAGTATCTCAGCTTCAGCTGCCTCAGGTCTGGCTGCCCCCTCTGGCTCTAACTCTGGTCTCAGCACTGCACCCTGTTCCCTGGGCCCCCCAGGGCCTGTCAGTGGCTTGAGAAGATGGTTGGATCACTCCAAACATTGTCTCAGTGTGGAAACTGAAGCAGATGGTGCCCAGGCTGGACCATATGAGGTGAGCATGGAGCACCACAGAAGCATATAGGATATCCTTGAAGAACACTGGGAAAGAAGACAGATTGGGGGCTACTGGTCAATGGGAGACACAGCTATTTTCCCTGACCTCTGGCACTTGACCTTGGCACCTAGAACTGGATGCTGGAACCAGCTTTAGCCACAGGAGAGGACCTTCCAGAATTGACCTTGCTGACCACACTGTTGGAGGGCCCTGGAGATAAGACAAAGGTATGATGAAGTGGGTCTGTGTGGCTTCCCCTCATCCATTTGTTTACTCTAGGATGATCTTTTCTTTCAGCCACCGGAGGAAGAAACTTTGTCCCAAGCCCCTGAGAGTGAGGAGGAACAGAAGAAGAAGGCTCTGGAAAGGAGTATGTAGGTGTCACATACTCTCCCTCCCCACCACTGCACAACTTCCAGAGGACTGCCCCTCACGTGTTAGATTTGAGAACTGGAATTTCCTCTGAGGTTGACTGTGGAAATGAAGGGGCCTCTAGTCCAGGAGGGGGAAAGTAGGTAAACCAAGGATGTGCACTCCTGCTTTCTTCCCAGGTATGTCCTCAGTGAACTGGTAGAGACAGAGAAGATGTATGTGGAGGACTTGGGGCATATTGTGGAGGTAACTCCCTTTTCTCTTCTGAGCCCTGACCCAGCCCTTTTCCTCTGCCCAGGGCTAATTTTAAGAGATGCCTTGATGCTCCTCATCCCACCTTCCCAGTGCCCCTTACATCCTGAATTGGGGAGTGGGTGTTCCCACCAAGGCTGCCCCCCCAACCACACACACATACCCTCACCCCAACCTTCTCACAGGGTTACATGGCCACCATGGCAGCTCAGGGGGTTCCTGAGAATCTTCGAGGCCGTGACAGGATTGTGTTTGGAAACATCCAGCAAATCTACGAGTGGCATAGAGAGTGAGTGGTGGAGCTCTGAGGGAAAGGGGGAGGGGCAGATGCCTGGTTGTCTGTGTCCCACCCGTGGCCCAGGAGCTATTGCCTGAGGAATGTTTGGAGAGGCTTCATGGGGAGCACTACTAGGGCAGACAGCCCTAAGTTGCAGGGGTGCATATATTTGACCTACCTTTTCCCTGACAACCCCTCTAGCTATTTCCTGGGGGAGCTACAGCGTTGTTTGAAGGATCCTGATTGGCTGGCTCAGCTATTCATCAAACATGTGAGGCTTGAGAGATTGGGATCAGGGGAGGAGGTTGGGAGTGGATGGGACTCTGCAGACATGCTCTCCCTCTTCACCCACCCTGCTCTTTCTTAAACTCTACCCTTGTTAGGAGCGCCGGCTGCATATGTATGTGGTATACTGTCAGAATAAACCCAAATCAGAGCATGTGGTGTCAGAATTTGGGGACAGCTACTTTGAGGTCAGTGGCAGAGGTGCCTTGGGGAAAGAGGTACAGAATCACTGTGAGCAGGCTTTCCAGGCTGCATAACCACTGTGTGTCCCTGTCTCCAGGAGCTCCGGCAACAGTTGGGGCATCGACTGCAGCTCAGTGATCTCCTCATCAAACCAGTGCAGAGGATCATGAAATACCAGCTGCTGCTCAAGGTCAGGACCACCTACCTGTTCCCTGGGCACACAGCTGGGTGGGACAGCCCTTTCCTCAATCATCTCCT